TTAATGTGGGGTGATCAAAGGGTTAACTGTGAGCTGTATTACTATGTGGGCGGTGTGCTTCACATCCAACCAGTGTGGAGGATTACAGTGAGATGTAGGAAAGGAAGTCTTTTCCTATATTCTGCACTCAGTTGGCGCCCTCTTCAGTTTCCGTTCTATATTGCAGCGACCAGTTCAGTCTCAGTGAGGAGCTGCCGTGGGTATCTTTGGACTTACGATTTTTTTTTTTTTTTTAGTTATTTACTATTTATTTCAGGTACTTATATAGCGCCATCAGTTTTACACCGCGCTTTACATATATATTGTGCATTCACATCAGTCCCTAACCCTCAACGGGCGTACAATCTCTAACTCACATTCATACATACTAGGGCCAAATTAGACAGGATACAATTAACCTCCCAGCATGTCTTTGGAGTGTGGGAGGAAACTGGAGTACCCGGAGAAAACCCACGCAGGCACAGGGAGAACATGCAAACTCCAGGCAGGTGGTGCCATGGCTGGGATACGAACCAACGACCTGAGTACTGCCAGGTGGAAGTGCTAACCATTTAGGCACTGTGTTATAATTCTACCCCCCCCCCCCCCATAGCACGTTTACATGTACGTTTATGTTGTAGCTTAGCTGTATCCCTACCTGCGCCATTCTCCATCATTCCTTCAGGTCACCCTCAGGAATACCCGCCCTGAGAAATGCTATTAATAAAATCTCCTAAATGTGTGAAAAATCATAGATATGACGCACATAGTCAAAGTGCCTAAATAATTCATAAAAAAAAAAAAAAAAAAATCATATTTCAAAAGTGACAAAACCAGCCTAATAAAGTTCTGAAACAAACCTAACTCATCACAAAAGTAACAAATTACAACATACGCTCAAAAGTTTGCATACCCCGGCAGAAATTGTGAAATTTGGCATTGATACTGAAAATCTGACGGATCTGCCAACAAATGCTCTTTTATTGAAGGATGAGGATCATAACGAAGCCATTTATTATCAGATAGTTGTTTGGCTCCTTTTTAAATCAGAACAGAAATCACCCAAATGCCCCGGATCAGAAGTCTCCGCCCCCAGATCAGAAGTCTCCGCCCCCAGATCAGAAGTCTCCGCCTCCAGCTCAGAAGTCTCCGCCCCCAGCTCAGAAGTCTCCGCCCCTGGAATGTTCGGGACCTTGGTACAGACACACAAGGTGACACAAACGGGTTACAATGCCAATTAGAGGTTAATGTTTCCACATCTGTGGCTTTATAAATTGCCATTAGTGTCAGTGTATAAATAGTCAATGGGTTTGTTGGCTCTTACGTGGAAGCACTGACTAGGCTAGATACTGAGCCATGGGGAGCAGAAAAGAACTGTCAAAAGTCCTGCGTAACAAGGTAATGGAACTATAAAGATGGAAAAGGACATAAAAAGATGTCCAAAGCCTTGAATATGCCAATCAGTACTGCTAAATCACCTATTAAGAAGTGGAAAGTTCGGGGATCTCTTGATACCAAGCCAAGGTCAGGGAGACCAAGAAAGATTGCAGCCACAACTGACAGAAGAATTGTTCGGGATTCAAAGAAAACCCACAGGTGACCTCAAAAGAAATCCAGGCTGCTCTGGAAAAAGACAGTGTGGTTGTTTTTAAGGCGCACAATATGACACTTGAACAAAAAATGAGCTGCATGGTGGAGGTGCCAGAAAGAAGCCTTTACTGCATCAATGCCACAAAAAGGCCCCTGGCTAGGCATGTCAAGGTGTTGTCAGGCATATTGTAACCGGGCTTTTTTGTGGCATTGATGCAGTAAAAGCTTCTTTCTGGCACCTCCACCATGCAGCTCATTTTTGTTCAAGTATTGTACTCCTTTAAAACAACCGCACCGTCTTTTTCCAAAGCAGCCTGGATTTCTTTTGAAGGTATAAGGTATGTGAGCGCACTAAAAGTAGCAGCTATGCACAATACGTAACCAGATAAAACCTTAAAACAAAATAATAAAACAGTGCAGCGCAAAAAAAATTTATATATCTTTTAAGGTGCCTTAACGATAAAGTGGATGAAGTTCATGAATAAATCATTATAAAATATATATAGAAATGTTCCAAAAGTGACAATAGTGCTCTGAAGGGTGCCTGCTTCAAAGGTATTCCGGTGCTTGTGCAAATTGTTATAGTAAAATTGCGCACTCACCAGATGCGCAACATAAATGCGCATATAAATATAGATCAAGATGTCCTCTCTAGGAGATCAGGGTAGACCAGGTGGTAGGTAATCCTCCCTCTGAAGGGTAAGTGGCACACCAGATGATTCCAGGGCTTCACGATGATCCAAAACAGCCAGAGGTCCCCTATAGGGTTTGGTGGGTGTAGCTTCCTGGATATACATGAGATCCCCTCTCTGGGTACTGGAATGGACCTCTGATCTTGAATGGGCTTCTGCACAGAGTCCTGACCTCAACCCCATAGAACACCTTTGGGATGAATTAGAGCGGAGACTGCGAGCCAGGCCCCCTCCCCCGACATCAGTGCCTGACCTGACAAATGTGCTTCTGGAAGAATGGTCCAACCTTCCCATAGACACCCTCCTAAATCTTGCGGACGGCCTTCCCAGAAAAGGTGAAGCTGTTTTAGCTGAAAAGGGCGGGGCCAACTCAATATTGAACCCTACGGACTAAGACTGGGGGGGCCATTATAGGTCATGTGTGGGGGGAAAGGGCGGGGCCAACTCTATATTGAACCCTACGGACTGAGACTGGGGGGCCATTAAAGGTCATGTGTATGGAAAGGGCAGGGCCAACTCAATATTGAACCCTACGGACTAAGACTGGGAGGCCATTAAAGGTCATGTGAGTGGAAAGGGCGGGGCCAACTCAATATTGAACCCTATGGATTAAGACTGGGGGGCCATTAAAGGTCGTGTGTGTGGAAAGGGCGGGGCCAACTCAATATTGAACCCTAAGGACGAACCTAAGACTGGGATGCCATTAAAGGTGAACCATGTGCCTGGAAAGGGTGGGGCCAACTCAATATTGAACCCTACGGACTAAGACTGGGGGGCCATTAAAGGTCATGTGCGTGGAAAGGGTGGGGCCAACTCAATATTGAACCCTACGGACTAAGACTGGGGGGCCATTAAAGGTCATGTGCGTGGAAAGGGCGGGGCCAACTCAATATTGAACCCTACGGACTAAGACTGGGGGGCCCATTAAAGGTCATGTGTGTGGAAAAGGGCGGGGCCAACTCAATATTGAACCCTACGGACTAAGACTGGGGGGCCATTAAAGGTCATGTGTGTGTGGAAAGGGCGAGGCCAACTCAATATTGAACCCTACGGACTAAGACTGGGAGGCCATTAAAGGTCATGTGTGTGGAAAGGGTGGGGGCCAACTCAATATTGAATCCTACGGACTAAGACTGGGGGGGCCATTAAAGGTCATGTGCGTGAAAGGGCGGGGCCAACTAAATATTGACCCTACGGACTAAGACTGGAATGCCATTAAAGGTCATGTGTGTGGAAAGGGCGGGGCCAACTCAATATTGAACCCGTAGGGTTTGTCCTGAAAAAAAAAAGCGGTATAATCCACCTGAATGTACGAAATTGTTGTGATGATAGATACGGTTTTACTAACATGGGTCATCGTTGCAAAATTGTGCTTAGGCATTTAGATGTTTTACCCTTAGGGCGTGAAGGGGTTAAAAAGGAGCCAAACAACTCAGTGAAAATAAATGGCTTCATAGGATCATCATCCTTCAATAAAAGAGCATTGTTTGGCAGATCCGTCATATTTTCAATATCAATGTCAAAATGTCACAATTTCCGCCAGGGGGTGCAAACATTTGAGCACAACTGTATGATTTTATTTCAGCAGCGCAGTCAGGAGATCTCCTGGTTTGTGTTGTGCTGGGAATACACAGGAAGTGCAGCTGCCGGACGTCGTATTTATCAGCTTTAGTTTTCACCTGATTTTTTGATACACAGAGCACAGGGTAGCAAAGTACAAAATGCCACGAATACCCAATAAAGAAAAAAAAAAAAGACTGAAACGTTGTGTAAATGTATTTATTCTTTTTTTGTTTTTTTTTGTTCTTTTAAATTGTTCTGTGCAAAATACCTCTGAGCCTATGGGCCAGCGGCGGTAGGTAAGAGACGACGACGGCCACGAAGCCCACTGTCCTTGGATTATTGCATGTCAGAGGCGCATGAAGCAGCATTGTTAATCTACCTTGGACATCATTAAAAAGTCAACCTTCTCTTGGCATACCGGGTAACAGATCCCCGGCCAGAGGGCCGTCCGACGGAAACGCGTCAGCGACTTCCGTCCTCATCCGCTCCCTGTGCTGGGGAAGGTCGATTTATAAAGTAGGGACTGCGTAGGCTGCGTTGGGGGGGTCAGGACAACGAAAACACAAATAGTTAAATAAATAAAAAAAATATTAAAAAAAAAAATCAGAGTGCATTTGTGCCGCAATATATATATATATATAAAGTCTTTAGACGTCTCATCACTCACAAATTAATACTGAGGAAAGGAAAAATTAAAAATTCACAAACTCTTCTTCATGACTCCGTAACACAATAAAATTTAAAAATATATATATCGTATATTTATATATATTTTATATCTTTCTGTAACAGCAATTAAGTGATGAGGTGCCAGGAAAGCAATATCGATACAATGTAACAGACGACGTAGGAATAAAAGAAAAAAAATCTGATTAAGTGCGGAAGGATCGCTGTGGGCGGACGGTTCGGCGGTACCGCGTCCGCGGCCGGTAAATAGAACAGCTTGAAAAATAAGCTGCTCGTATTCACTTTCTCCCTCTCTCGTATGAAAGGATGTAACAAGTCATAAAAGAAACATCTCTAGAAAATATTATACTCTCTAGTATAATAGACAAGGGGGGGGTGCTGCGGGGGGGCGGCGGCGCGGTGAGGCGGCGGCAGCAGCAAGGGGGAGGGGAGGGGGGTGCCGTAGGGTGCACAGTAGTGATCGATCTCTGGATTTGGCATCTGCAGGGCTCAGATGTTGATTCCTTTGACCAGGGAGCTCTCCAGGGTGATGTTGAATTCCTGCAGAGTCTGTAGGACGCGGATGAGCGAGTTGACCAGCGTGTGGTCTTTGATTAAAGCTGCGTCCTCGTACATTTGTGCTATTATGGGGCAGTCGGCCAGCAAGGCGATCCAGTGGTGCAAATAGTGATCACTAGGAAAAGGAAAAAAAAAAAAAGTATTAGGGATATCGGCTTTAGAGGTTAATCTGTCTGTGTGTACTCAAATCTGCACGTTGGAGAGCAAAAATACACAAGATATACTCTATGGGCAAAACAATGTGGACCCCTGATGACCATCACGTCTGGAGGAGCTTGTTGGGTACCCCATTCAAAAGCCAAGACCATTATTATGGAGTTGCCTTCCGTCCATGGCCATTAATCTGGAGTTACTCCCCCTCCCCCCCAGTAGCCATTATTATGATTTATCCCCCTCCCCCCCATGGCCATTAATATGGAGTTGACCCCCCCCTCCCCCCGGTCATTAATATGGAGTTCCCCTCCTTCCCTAATGGCAATTAATACAGAGTTGCCACCTTCTCACCATAGCCATTAATCTGGAGTCCCCCTGCCCGCAAGGCTATAAATCTGGAGTCCCCCCAATGGCCATTATTATGATTTACCCCCTCTTCCCCCACCCCCGCCATTAATATGGAGTTTCCCTCTTCCCCCCATGGCCATTATTATGGAGTTCCCACTGCTCCCCTCATGGCGTTTAACATGGAGTTGCCACCTCCTTGCCATGGCCATTATTATGGAGTTGTCCCCCCTGCCGCCATGGCCATTATTATGGAGTTGTCCCCCTGCCGCCATGGCCATTATTATGGAGTTGCCCCCCCCTCCTGCCATAGCCATTAATATGGAGTTCCCCTCCTCCCCTCATGGCAGTTAATATGGAGTGTCCACCTCCTCCTCATGGCCATTATCATGGAGTTGCTCCCCTCCCCCCCACAGCCATTATTATGGAGTTGCCACCTCCTCGTCATGGCCACTATTATGGAGTTCCCTTCCTCCCGTCATGGCCAATATTATGGCGTTAGCTGGTCCCTCCATGGCCATTACTAGAGAGTTGGCCCCCCTCCCCAAATGGTCAATAATATGAAGATGCCCCCTTTCTGCCCATGGCCATTATTATGAAGTTGCCTTCCTCTACCTATAACTTCTATCCGGAGTGACACTTTAAGTTTGAATGTACAATTGGCCCTGTTTGTGGCACTCACCGGGCTCCCAGACACACGAACATCTGGAACTTGCCGTCTTTGCCGATATTGCGAGGAGTGCTGTTGATGGCGTTGATGATACGGCTGAAGATACGGGCCCTCTTCTGCCAGTCTTCACTAGGGGCCCCTTCGCTGAGCTCAAGGCCGTCGTAATGTGCTTGGGCCTTCTCTGAAAAGAGCCAACATGATGACAATACACATCCAGGGTGACAACACCCATAATGCCACAGACGGCTGTCCACATTCACACCATTATAACCAGTGAATCTGGGCACAAAATACTGGGTGAGTGAAGTCTACAGAGGGGGCCACCTCCAATGTGCCACACCAACCCCCCCCCCCCTCCCGTGAGAACCTCTGGCAGCAGCAGATCTCCAAACCTCCCACAGTGACTCCCAACTTTTATAGTGCCCCCCAGCCTCCCACAGTAGCTCAAAGCCCTCAGCCTCCTGCAGAACATCTACCCCCATAGTGCCCCCAACCTCCCCAGTCTCCCACAAAAATCCCTAAGTCCCCCACAGAGGTTCCAAGCTTCCATAGTGTCCCCAACCTCCCAGGGTCCCTCTCAGTCTCCCACAGCTCCCCACAAAGCCCCCTGCAGAGTCTCAAGACCCTAATAGTGTCCCCAACCTCTCACAGTCGTCCCCCATCTCCCACAGTGCCTCACATAGCTTTAAGCACCCTGCAGAACCCCCAGACCCTTATAGTGCCCCCAACCTTCCACAATGCCTCACAAAGCCCCAAGAGAGCCTCCAGACCCCCATAGTGCCCCCAAGCTCCCGCAGTGCTCCCCCAAGCCCCCCCCCCCAAACAGCCTCATAAAAGCCCCAAGTACCCTGCAGAGTCTCCAGACCCCCATAGTGCCCCCAACCTCCCGCAGTGCTCCTCCAGTGCCTCACAAAGGCCCCAAGCCTCCCCCCCCCCCCAACCTCCCACACAACCTCATAAAGCCCCAAGTACCCTGCAGAGCCTCCAGACCCCCATAGTGCCCCCAACCTCCTACAATGCCTTACAAAGCCCCCTACAGAACCTCTGGACCCCCAAAGTCTCCCCCCCCAGTCTCCCATAGTGCCTTACAAAGCCCTCTAGACCCCCGTAGTGCCCCCAACCTCCCAGAGTGCTCCCCCAGTCTCCCACGTGTGCCTCACAAAGCCACAAACCTCCAGACCCGCGTGTATATATATATATATATATATATATATATATATATGTAAAGCGCGGCATAAATTGATGACGCTATATAAGTACCTGTAATAAATAAATAAAAATAAATAATCCGATCTCAGGGTGGGGGGCCATGAATCTTCAGGAGCCCCTAATACAGCAAGAATCTCCCATTGGGTGAAATAAGAATCGCTCCTAATTACTAGATAAGCCACAAGAGAAGGCCGCGAGGAACGACGTCACCACTTGGGGACTTTTCCAGCTGGAAGAACACTTTGACCATTTCCATTCCTCACCTAGGAAGTCCCATTGAAGATGCTTTTGAAGAGTCGCGGTGACTTGAACCCGTGTTGGAAAACTTGTTCCAGAGCCGACACCAGACCGGCCTCCCCGCAGAGCAGCAATGTCAAACTTCCCCTCTGCAATGGAAATACAACACAGTACAGAATACGGAACTACAGATCATAACCCGCGCTCCAATATATACAACTCTCAATAATAAAACAAATCCAATTTTCTATAATAATGTTATTAAATGACTCCGTGTATCTTCAATATATCAATAATTAAATATATTAATCCAACCAAAAGTTATAGTTGATAACACCATTAATTCATATATAAAAAGTGAAAAAATGAAAAAATATATATTGTGCATATAAACCAGAATAAATATCTATGGAAATGACAATTCAGTTCATCAGAGATGCGATGGTAGTTAAAGTTCAAACTAATCTGTATGATGGATCAGTGTTCACAGCCGTGAACCTCTCCCTCCTTTCTTCTCTCCTCTCTCCCCAACACAGCCTCCTCAATAGAACTTTCTCCACTGGCTGCTTATTCCTCCATGCTCGATACATATAAAGAGAGAAACAGAGACATAGTGTCTTATCCGGGATAAAAGTTATTTATTTAAAGCTATTGGTTTCCACTCACATGCTCTAAACAAAAGTAGCGCTTTGTATGCAAATGTATCCAAAAAGTATCCAAATCCTACTATACAACCAGCCTTGCAGGTGTGTCTGCCTTCACTGAATGTGCTTGCCGTTCCTCCGTGGATGCGTGATGACGTCACCGCCCCCTCCCTACGCGTTACGCTACAGGGACTCGTAGCTTCCTCTGGGGGATGTTAATATATACATCCATACACCTGGAGAGGGTGTAATAAGTACCTAGCGATCTAATATATTTTAATTCTAATTTTATAAAGAAATTATTTAAACACTTGATTAATTAATTAGAAAGTATCCCAGTAATTCACAATAATCACATGATTATCATATAAGCACATAATTATTTAAAGTGTAAGAATACTTCTAGTGGCTCACAAGTATTTATTTTAATTTTAATTACAGATCATAACCCAGCACTGCTGCAAAAGTGCAGGCACCGTAACACGAAGACACAGCTGTAGTCCCCCCATCCCAGACATCATGAAGCCTCCTGAACGGCCCGTGCAGACACCTATTTAGAGAAAAAGGCCCCCCCCACTTCTCTCACAGTAATGGCTGGACTAATCCACTGATCATTGGGTGCCACGAATTGCATGGTGTGATGTAGGAGGAGCCAAGGAGGAATTGTAGGCGGAGCCAAGAGTTAAAAGTCCCTATAAAGGCACAGAGGGATAGCGGGGGGGTACGTGGGGGAGAGGGGGTGGGGGGGTAGGTAGGGGAGAGGAGTTGTGGGGGAGGGGGTAGTAGGGGAGAGGAGTGGTGGGGGAGGGGGTAGGTAGGGGAGAGGAGTGGGTGGGGGGGAGGGGTAGGTAGGGAGGGAGGTGGTGGGGTAGGGGTAGGGAATGGGGGTGGGAGGAGGGGGGTAGGTAGGGAAGGGAGGAGGGGGTAGGTAGGGGAAGGGTTGGGAGGAGGGTGTAGGTAGGGGACGGGGGTGGGAGGAGGGTTGGAGGGTAGGAGGAGAGAGGTAGGGAGGGTAGGGGTAGGAAGGGGGGAGGGGGGTGGGGGAGGGGTAGGAAGGGGAGGGGGGTGGGAGGAGGGGGTAGGAAGGGGAGAGGGGTGGGGGGAGGAGGGGTAGGAAGGGGTAGGAGAGGGAGGGGGTGGGAGGGAGGGGTAGGAAGGGGAGAGGGGGTGGGAGGGAGGGGTAGGAAGGGAGAGGGGGGTGGAGGGAGGGTAGGAAGGGGAGAGGGGTGGAAGGGGGAGAGGGGGTGGGAGGGAGGGGTAGGTGGGGAGGGGTAGGTGAGAGGGGTAGGTGAGAGGGGTAGGAGGGGGGGTAGGAGGGGGGGGTAGGAGGGAGGGGTAGGAGGGAGGGGTAGGAGGGAGGGGTAGGGGAAGGTAGGGGGGATGGAGGGGGTAGGAGGGGAGGAGAGGGTTTGGAGGTAGGGGAGAGGGGAAGGTAATATGTAAATTGTGGTATGGACATTGAGTGTAATGTTTTGATAAATTTGTTCCATTTTAATGAAAAATTATTAAAAATATATATATATTAAAAAAAAAAAAAAAAAAAAAAAAAAAAAAAAAAAAGCAACCCTCCAGAGCCCGGGACATATTGCACAATGGGCAGCTCTGCTCTACTGGCCACCTCCTTCTATAGAGGGACAAAGCTGTAGTGTGACTTGTTCTCTTCCTTCCCTTTAGGACTTCCCCGAAGTGTCCCATGTAATGTACAACTATAAATGAGGGGAATCTCCAGGAGACTACAAGGATCTATATTGTCCTGTCTGTCACCCAGCTCAGCAGTTAATTAACCCCCTCAATACCCGGGCACTGTCTCCCCCTCCCTGCCCAGGCCAATTTTCAGCTGTCGCACTTTGTATGACAATTGTGCGGTCATGCAAAACTGTACCCGTAAAAAAAAAAAATTCTCTTTTTTTTTTAACACAAATAGAGCTTTCTTTTGGTGGTATTTAATCATCACTGAGCTTATTTTTTGCTAAATATACAAAAAAAAAAAAAAACTGAAACTTTTGAAAAAAAAAACCCAAATTTTTCTTCGTTTTGCAAATTTTGCAAAAATTTTGCAAATAAATAACATTTCTTCATACATTTAGGTATTCTGCTACATTTCTTTGGTGAAAATACCCCAAATGAGTGTATATTATTTAGTCCATAGGAAAGTTATAGAGCGCGCACGCACGCACGCACGCACGCACGCACACACACTTTTTCTTATGGTTGAACTGGAAGGACATTTGTCTTTTTTCAGCCATACTAACTATGTAACTATATATGTATCTCACAATCGATCAATCAATGTACTGACGGCCCGATCTCATTTCTTGTGACTCGAGAAATGCCAGCATAGTACAATTACCCCCCAAATGACCCATTTTTGGAAAATAGACAGTCGCCCAGTTACAATGGCGAGTGTCCCGTCTGGCCGTCAATCTGCTACAGACCGGGGGGGGTGGGAAGGTGTTAAAGTGATTCTAAAGGTTTTTTAAAAGAAAAAATAACAAACCTGTCTATACTTACCTGCTATGTGCGGTGGTTTTGCACAGATCAGGCCAGATCCTCCTCTTCGCGGGGGTCCCCCGCTGGCGCTTCTGACCCCTCCTTGCTGTCAAGTGCCCCCTCAGCAAGCAGCTTGCTATGGGGGCACCCACTGCTCCAGGTGTCCATGAACACACACAGAGCTGTGGCTCGGCCCCACCCCTCTCTCTTCTCATTGGCTCACTGGCTGTGATTGACATCAGTGGGAGCCAATGGCTCCCGCTTCTGTCTCAGCCAATGAGAAGAAGGAGTCCCGGCATAGCCGGGACTCCAGTGCAAATCAGTGGATCGAGAGGGGGCTTAGGTGAGTGTTGGGGGGGGAATGCCGCATACAGAAAGTTTTTTACCTTCATGCAGAGGTCGCATGAAGGAAAAAAAAAAAAAAACCTTCAGACTTTACAACCGCTTTAAAGAGCTGAAGAAAAGATTTCCCTGCAAAAGAAAGGGACCCGAGTCTGAACTCCTTGATGCTTCTTGAATCTGAGCCGCCTCTAACACTGGGGGGTGGGTTTGGTCGCCATCCATTATTGCCTATGGTCCTACTCCTGAAGGTGGCGCTATAACCCAGAGGTCAGAAATCAAGGTCTCTGCTGTGTCCTTTAGCCACAAATCACTGCGATTTATGTGCAATTTCAAATCTTTTATAGTTACTTGCGATTTGCAGCGTGATTTCCATTATATTCTATGTATGTGACATCGCAACCAAAAACTGCAGAAAAAAATAATGGCTTTAGAAATGGCGCTGCAGCAAATCGCAGGCGTTAAGACACCGACATTCACTTGGTGCGACTTCAATTCTCAAATCGCACCGGTATGACCGGCAAAGTAATGACTGGAAGAGAAGTGGAAGTATTGGGGGAAATGTTAGACGGTTACCTCCTTTTCCGGTTTGTGAAAGTGTTTCACAATTCCATTGACAGCCTCTCCTATGGCCTCCTGGATCTGACCCGTGTTCAGTTCTGTTGGAAGGAACATTGCCATGGTTAGTAAATGGAGCTTTTGCGGCTCTGATATGAAACAAAGTCATGTGACCAATCAGAGCCAATACAGTGAAGCTTAGCGGTATGATGAAGCCATATGATCAAAACCAATGTGATTGAGGACACGTGAGCAGGCAAGGCCCATGTAGTGAACACCTGCGGAGTGATGAGGTCACATGACCAGGCAAGGCCCATGTAGTGAACACCTGCGGAGTGATGAGGTCACATGACCAGGCAAGGCCCATGTAGTGAACACCTGCGGAGTGATGAGGTCACATGACCAGGCAAGGCCCATGTAGTGAACACCTGCGGAGTGATGAGGTCACATGACCAGGCAAGGCCCATGTAGTGAACAGTGGGTGGTGATGAAGTCACATGTCCAGGCAAAGCCTATGTCGTGAACGCTGGAGTGATGAGGTCACATGACCAGTCAAGACCCATGTAGTGAACACTGGTGGAGTGATGAGTGACATGACCAAACACGCAAAGCCCATGTAGTGAACACTGGCAGAGTGATGGGGTCACATGACCAGGCAAAACCCATGTAGTAAACACTGCCAGTGTTTACTACATGGGCTTTGTGACCCCATCACTCCGCCAGTGTTCACTACATGGGCTTTGCCTGGTCATATGACCCCGTCACTCTGCCAGTGTTCGCTACATGGGCTTTGTGACCCCATCACTCTGCCAGAGTGATGAGGTCACATGACCAGGCAAGGCCCATGTAATGAACACTGGTGGAGTGATGAGGTCACATGACCAGGCAAGGCCCATGTAATGAACACTGGTGGAGTGATGAGGTCACATGACCAGGCAAGGCCCATGTAGTGGTGGAGTGAACACTGGCGGCCCCATGTAGTGAACACTGATGATGGTCACATGACCAGGCAAGGCCCATGTAGTGAACACTGGCGGAGTGATGAGGTCACACACCCAGGCAGAGCCAATAAAGTGAATACTGGCGGTAGGATGGGGTCACATGGCCATGCAGAAACCAATGTAGTTGATGTGATCACTGAAAGCCAGTAGATTCACAAGGACATGTGACCTGCCATAGCAGCATGTAATAAATCTCTTCCTAATGCCTGGCAGAGGGTTCTGGTGTCTGTGTTGCCTACGATGTGACTACTTACTCGGCCGACTGTTGGGTGAGATCGCCACGAGTCTCCGGATCATGCCGGGTGAGTGTTTGCAGAGGGGGCGTCCGGCAGGGTCTGTCTTCGGTGTCGGTAGTTGGTGTCAGAAGATCGCCAACCAAAACCCTCTCCAGACTGCCGTCGTCCATCCCTTTCCCCAGCCAGCGGCCGCAAGGGAACCTGTGGAGACAAGGCGTATAAAGCACCACATATGACCCGCCGAAACACAAGAATAGTAACCGCCCCCCCTCCGCCCTATAGAAGTACTCCTACAGGGCGCCGGGTGTGCTAAATCACGTATATATACATGATTGTGCATTTCCAGGTAAGGAGCGCGCACGCCCTAACCCGCGTCGCCATTCGCAGCCGCTGCTGTCAATCACCGGGTCCCAGCCAGTGATTACCGAGTATCACCGATGGGGAGGAGGACTGTTTTGTTTACTAACAGTCGTCCTCCCTGTCAGCTCAGGCACACTGCACAGCACAGCCATCCAGAGCAGTGTGATTACAGTGAAACACAGACTCCGCCCCCTAGTAAAACACTCCCAGCACACAGTTAACCCTTTGATCGACCCAGATGTGAACCCCTTCCTCCCCAGTGCCATTACAGTGTTAGCACTTTTTATTAGCACTGATCACTGTACTGGTGTCACTGGGGGTGTCAGTGACACCAAGTCTGCCCCCCCCCCCCCCCGTCAGAATGTCCATCGCAGTCCCGAATATAAGTCGCTGATCGCTGCCATTACTAGTAAAAAAAAAATCCCAGTATATACACCGCCATTTGTAAACGCTAGAACTTTCACGTAAACCAATTCATTTACACGTAACGGGATTCCTTTTCAGCAAAGACACGGAGCAGAATACATTTTGGCCGAAATTTATGATGAAATTTGATTTTTATTTAAAGTGACACCAAATCAATCCCCCCCAGTGTCAGAATGCCCACCGCAGTCCGGCTATAAGTCGCTGATCGCCGCCATTACTAGTAAAAATGAAAAAAAAAAAATCCCACTATATATTTTTAAAATTTTTTTTTACTGGACAAGTTTAATAGCATAAAGTCAAAAATATTGTTTTTTTCTCAAAATTGTCGGTGTTTTTTTTTTTTTATAGCGCAAAAAAAAACGCACAGGCAATCAAATACCACTGAAAGAAAGCTCAGTTCGTGGAAAAAAAAAGTTTGTAAAGTTCAGTTAGGTGCAGCGTTGCATGACCGCGCAATTGTCAGTTAAAGTAACGCAGCGCCGTATTTCAAAAAATGGCCTGGTCAGCAGGGGGGGGGGGGGGGGAATCTTCTGGATGGCGAGGGGTTAACTCACCAAAAGCACAGGACACCAAAAAACAAATGCAAAGTTAGGCCGGCCACACAGTGGTCTAAATTCGACCGATTTTGCGGCCGAAAATCAGACCTAAGAATAATCGGTGGTTAGTGGGGTCAATGGCACTGGCCGATTTTCATAGTTCCTTCCCTTTTTGGTGATCGAGCATGTTGGAAAATTTGTGAAAAAAGACCGATTTTTGACTCAACGATGGTCAAATCGTACGATCGTTTTTTCCGAAAAGAATATGCGCCATGAGCCGTGACCTGAAAGGAACAGAAGTCTCGCCTGTTATATGGGGGGAACTTTATGACTCGATCAACCGATTTTCTAAATCACTGATGGCGCCATCGGATTACCGAGCGAACGGTTTCGATTTTCGGACGAAAAATTGTTGGAATTCGAACCATGTATGGCCTGCATTACATTTCATTCAGGGACGTGCTGGTCCCATAGCAGCACGAGGCTGACTTGCACTGCATCTGTCCTTGTTGCGCACTGCTGGCTGGGTCTAGGACTCCTCCGGGGTGGAGGAAGCACAGGAGTACACAATGCAATAGGCCAGGGGTGGGCAACTGTGGCCCTCAAGCTATTGGTGAACTACAAGTCCCATCATGCCTCTGCCTTTGGGAGTCACGCTTGTAACTGTCAGTTTTGCAATGCCTCATGGGACTTGTAGTTCTACAACAGCTTGAGGGCCGCAGTTGCCCACCCCTGCAATAGGAAGCATGCTCTGCAGTACTGACAGGTCCTCTTTAGACCCCCCCCCCCCCCCCCCACAGCAGCAGCGTCTGGAGGGTAACAAATCAATTTGATGTGCACAGGCCGCTGAGAAGCGGAGGTCGATCGAACGTGAAAGGCGGAGGATTCTCACTTGTACGTGTGTCCTGTAATCTCATTGCGAACCATGACGTATTCCACCAGCCACTTGGCGTACAGCCCGGAGTTGTCGTGTCCGATCTGGACGGTTGTCAGCTTCCCAAGGTTCTGGCACTGCGAGAGAAGAGAGATGCTGGGTCACATGATGCGCTGCAGAGCACTCTGAGCACGTGCGGTGACAACATAGATATGTCTGTGAGCTGGCTGTCACCATGGTGGTCCTTTATTTAAATCGTAGAACACGAATGACTGCCAGCTACACATGCAAGCGATGGCATCTGGACCGTATCTGCAGATCCGAACACACACAGAAAAAACAACAAACAAAACCCCTACATTGAAGTACATATGACTTGTGTAGCACATCCCATCCTTCTGCCCCCCTTCAACGCTGCACCCCCAACACTGTAATCACTCACTTTGTATCTCTCTATCTCCTGATCGTCTGATCGATGTTTATAAACAACATGTTACTTTGTATCTCTCTATCTCCCGTCTGATCGATGTTTATAAACAATGTTACTTTGTATCTCTCTATCTCCCTCCCGTCTGATCGATGTTTATAAACAATGTTACTTTGTATCTCTTTGTCTCCATCTGATCAATGTTTTTATAAACAATGTTACTTTGCATCTCTCTATCTCCAGTCTGATCGATGTCTATAAACAATGTTACTTTGTATCTCTCTATCTCCAGTCTGATCGATGTCTATAAACAATGTTACTTTGTATCTCTCTATCTCCCCGTCTGATCGATGTTTATAAAACAATGTTACTTTGTATCTCTCTATCTCCCGTCTGATCGATGTTTATAAATAATGTTACTTTGTATCTCTCTATCTCCCGTCTGATCGATGTTTATAAACAATGTTACTTTGTATCTCTCTATCTCCCGTCTGATCGATGTTTTATAAACAATGTTACTTTGTATCTCTCTATCTCCCGTCTGATCGATGTTTATCAACAATGTTACTTTGTATCTCTCTATCTGATCGATGTTTATAAACAATGTTCTCTCTATCCCATGATCGATGTTTATAAACAATGTTACTTTGTATCTCTCTATCTCCCGTCTGATTGATGTTTATAAACAATGTTACTTTGTATCTCTCTATCTCCCGTCTGATCGATGTTTATAAACAATGTTACTTTGTATCTCTCTATCTCATCTGATCTGATGTTTATATAAACAATGTTACTTTGTTATTTGTGCAGACAAGAGATAGAGAGATACAAACATGTTATCCTTACCGGCTCTGAAATCGTTTTGTACACAGCAGCCCGGATCCTCCTATTCTCTGATCCCCCATTGGTGCTCCAGGCTCCTCCCCTAGGCATGCAATGGGGGGCAATCATGCAGCTCACTCCCGAGCCAGCTCGACGTGTCTATTAGACACACAGAGCTGGTCTTGGCCCCATTCCCCGCTATCTCCTCACTAGGTCCCACTGCTGTGTCTGTGCCAATGAGGAGAGAGAGCCTCGTCTCTCAGGCATATCGATCGACTAAGATCAGGCTCAGTTAAGTATGGGGGGGGGTAATTGTATACAGAAGGATTAGGGCAGAGAATGCATTAAGGTAAAACATCTTTCTGCCTTCAGAACCACTTTAACGGACCCCCCAGCAGCCGGTGTTACCTCGTAGGTCATCTCCAGGATGCTGCGCGGCACCTGCAGGACGCCCGTCTCCGTCTCCCCCAGCTCTCCGGAGATACAGATCCAGGGGTTAGCGGTGAACATTGAGCCCCCCAATTTCTTGCTGGGGACGATGAGGATGTGATAGGGGATCACTGGGGAGAGAAGATGATATATATTAGTTACACGGTGGTGGAAGATAACAAATACTATCTGCAATGATCAGGTGATTCTCCCCCGTACCGGAATGCCGCGGCAGAGAGTGGAGAGCCCCCATCCACCCTCCACCCTCCACCCTCCACCCTCCACCCTCCCCACCCTCCACCCCACCAATCCACCCCCTCCACCATCCACCTTGGTCAGGGATACAGATCTTACTTATAAACAGATACTTCATAATTCACACAAAACATCAGATATACCGTCCTATATACAATTCGAGGATAAAACCCGAGCAGGACAGCAGAGTCTGAGATGCTGCAACAACCATCACTCCATAGTCACTCCTGTTTGTTCCCCATTCTAATGTCTGGTCAAAGACGAACCCCTTAACCACGTCTGCATGTCATAGTGCAGGTTGAGTTTCAGCCAAATAATTCAACGATTGGCCACTTGAGTGAATGAGCTGCCGTACCCCATCAAGTGTACAAAACCTGCAACTCCAGGTGGGGAATCTCCAGCTTGCAGCTCATTGGCCTAGCAATGACATCTAGAGTGTGGGGTGTGGACCATCTTGGCTTTGGATGACCTAGACCAGGGGTGTCACACTGGTGGCCCTCCATCTGCTGCCAAACCACAAGTCCCATCATGCCTCTACCTTTAGTAGTCCTGCACTAGGCCCTGGTTCACTTTAGAAGCCACATTAGTCCTGGTGTTAATGAGGTTTGGGAATGTGTCCCCCCTTACTTGATGACTAGTGATGAGCTTGGGCTTTGGGGTTGGCTTTGGTCCTAGATCACGGGTGTTAAACCGGCAGTCCTCCATCTGCTGCCAAACTACAAGTCCCATCATGCCTCTACCTTTAGTAGTCCTGCACTAGGCCCTGGTTCACTTTAGAAGCCACATTAGTCCTGGTGTCAATGAGGTTTGGGAATGTGTCCCCCCTTACTTGATGACTAGTGATGAGCTTGGGCTTTGGGGTTGGCTTTGGTCCTAGATCACGGGTGTTAAACCGGCGGTCCTCCATCTGTTGCCAATCTACAAGTCCCATCATGCCTCTACCTTTAGCAGTCAACTGTCAATTTTGCAATGCCTCATGGGACTTGTAGTTTTGGCAACAGCTGGAGGGCCGCGAGTTTGACACCCGCGATCTAGGGTTTGGACCAAAGCCAACCCCAAAAGCCCAAGCTCATCACTAGTCATCAAGTGAGGGGGACACTTTCCCAAACCTCATTGACACCAGGACTAATCTGGCTTCTAAACTGAACCAGGGCCTAGTGCAGGACTACTGGAAGACTGCTGGTTTGACACCCGTGATCTAGGGTTTGGACCAAGGCCAACCCCAAAACCCAAACTCATCACTAGCCATCGAGTGAGGAGGGACACATTCCCAGACCTCATTGACACCAGGACTAATCTGGCTTCTAAACTGAACCAGGGCCTAGTGCAGGACTACTGCCCGCTCTGACTAGGACCAGATCGGAACTTTTCATAAATAGCTTATTGAAATTTATTCTAAAAAAAAAAAATCAGCATCAAAAAACATTACATTCCTAAATCAATGCTGCTGCTCTGTGTTGACAAACCATCAAACAAAATAAAAGTAAACTTCAAGGGTCTGTCCAGGCCCCTGATATCTCACACCAAAGACCACCCCCAAGAGCATTGTGAAAAAAAATGTACAAAAATTATTAAATTAAAATTAATGAAACATAATTAAAAAATATTTTACAATTTATTAATTTTTTTCCAATTTTTATTAAATAAATCTGTAAAAAAAAAAAAAAAAAGTAAAAAAAAATGAAACAAATTGTAAAATAAAAAATGAATAAAAAAAAAAAAACTAAAAAAAATATTAAAAGTAAAAAAATTAAATAGTAAAAAAAAAAAAAAAAAAAGCAATGCCCAGTGTGTAGCATAATTTAGCCACACCCACTGTTTGCCTTGGCGTGCTACACGTGCCGCAGGCCACCATCTCCCACTGTTAGGGGCCCCAGTGCTTTACTTTGCATAGGGACCCGTGATGCTGTTATGGTGGCACTGGTAAGGGGAAGGAGTTGGAGGTGGAGGAGGGTTTAGCTACTGACTTTGCAAGAAGTCAAAATTGGCACATCAAACACAGCGCAGCTAATGTGACGTAGACGGGAACAACATTTTGGGGGGGGGAGGATTAGTCACACATCCTAACATATGCAGAACGCTCACGTTAAACTGGCGGTCAGTGCAGCGCCCCCCCCCCCCCCCCCCGATTTTACTTTACTCACTGATTGTGGTAAAAACGTTTGTGAAGCAGAAGTAGTCTACAGCATTGAAGGACCATCCCCCCCAGGTGGCTAGAGGAAACTGCTCCTTCTCGTCATCAGCAGCGAAGGAAGCGTAGCGCTTGTAGAGTTTTTTCTAGTATAAAAAAAGATCACAATTTCAGAAAAGAGCCCCAGGAAGCGCCAAAACATACCGCAGGGTGGCAGGATGGGTTTGTCATCTGTAGTCTAGACAACTGGCCTTCCCACACAGGCGGTGCACCCCTGAAAACTCATATTTGTGGCACGAGGCCCATTACTGGGCTGAGGGTGAGGGACATGGGGCACTGACCTGGTGAGGGACAATGGGGCACTGACCTGGTGAGGGACCTGGGGGCACTGACCTGGTGAGGGACATGGGCACTGACCTGGTGAGGGACATGGGGCACTGACCTGGTGAGGGGACATGGGGCACTGACCTGGTGAGGGACATGGGGCACTGACCTGGTGAGGGACATGGGGTACTGACCTGGTGAGCTCATCGTGGTCCGAAGGAGCTGCTTCAAGTGTCTGGAGAGAAGTTTCTTCTCCATGGACAGGCGCACCCAGGCCCCGGCCTTCCCCACATCCGTCTTTATCTCTCACACCGATGTTCTGGATGTGTCTGGAGGAATGACAAGCAGGTGAGATCCATAGATAATGCCAAGGCACTGGGGAAGGGAGGGAAGGGGGGAAGAGAGGGAAGGGGGGAAGAGAGGGAAGGGGGGAAGAGAGGGAAGGGGGGGAAGAGAGGGAAGGAAGGGGAAGAGAGGGAAGGGGGGAACGAAGAAAGGGGGGGGAAGAGAGGGAAGGGGGCGGGAGGGGGAAGAGAGGGAAGGGGGGAGGGGAAGAGAGGGAAGGGGGGGAGGGAAAAGACAGAGGGAAGGGGGGGAGGGAAAGAGAGGGAAGGGGGGGGAGAGGGGAAGGGGGGGAGAGGGAAGGGGGGGAGAGAGGGAAGGGGGGGGAGAGGGGAAAACGGGGGGGGAGGGAGAGGGAAGGGAGGGGAGGGAAGAGGGGAAGGGGGAGGGAAGAGGGAAGAGGGAAGGGGAGGGTAAGAGGGAAGGGGGAGGGAAGAGGGAAGGGGGGGAGGGAGGGAAGGGGGGGGGGAGGGAAGGGGGGGGGAGAGGGAGAAGAAAGGGGGGAGGGAAGGGGGGGAGGGAGAGGGAAGGGGGGGAGAGATAGCGGAGGGAGGGGGACGAGAGGAGGGAAAGGAGAGAAGGGGGGCGAGGGGAAAGAAAGACAGGGGAGGGAAGATGGTTCTCTCCCTATTGGAGAAAGAAGGGGGTCCCGTCCCTCCCTTGTACTTTCCCTCCTTTTTTTTCTCTCGCCCTCCCTCCTTTTGAAGGGGGGGGGATCGAATGCTCCCCAGGGGGGGGAAGAAGCCTGTTTGCTTTGGGGGGGGAGAAGGGTCCTTTCTTTCCCTCTCTTTCCTTGGGTTTCTTCTCTTTGCGGGAATGGGGGGGAACAAGGTTTTTCTGTCTCTTTCCTGTCTCCTTTAGGGGGGGGGGAGAGGAGAGGGAAGGGGGGGGAGAGGGAAGGGGGGGGAGAGGGAAGGGGGGGAGAGAGGAAGGGGGCGGAGAGTTTAGGGAAGGGGGGGAGAGAGGGAAGGGGTTGGGGGAGAGAGGGAAGGGGGGGGGAGAGAGGGGAAGGGGGGGGGAGAGGGAAAGGGGGGGGTGACTTAACCCCCCCAACCCACCAAATTGTGCATGAAGCGTGGCATGGATTTGCCCTCACCCCGAACACAAATCACCATCAAGCACTGCACTCCCGAACTTTAGGCACCCCCCCATGGTACCTACAAAACTATAACTGGCCCCCCCATTACAGGCAGGACATAACACTTACAGCATGATCCTGGACCAGGGCCCAATCTTCAGAGGACGCCATCCCTCACTGGGTTGGTGTTGATCAGATTTCCTCCTCTCTGTATCTAAATACACTCCTGGGGGCGGGGGGGGGGGATCACAACAATACTGATTACATTTGTATCGGAAAGGACACTGTAACACATTTTGATAGAAAATGGTTTAGGAAGAACTTCATGTTTTGTATCCAAGAAAAGAAATGATACAATTATGGGGTCACAGGTCCAGGTACTGTGATACTTTCAGAAGCTGACAAACATTCACAATCTGCTGGCCCCTCCCTACCAGCCATGACCTGCCTGAATTGCATAGAGAAGCACAGAAACCCACAGAACGTAAAAAAGGTAGAGAATGAAAATGGAAATTTTGTATTTAAAAAATGTAATTAGCATGTTGTGTGTGTGTGGGGGGGGGGGGGGGGTTTACAAGGAAAGGGGAGCGCATAAGCAAATTAAACTCCAGCTTCAGCCTTTTATAGGGCCGAATTGTCAGCCAATAAACGCAAAACTGAATTGGGGGTCGGCCCCCCGTTGCTGATGCTGCCACCAATGTCCTCGAAAAACGGCCGTTCTTCGTGGATTTTCCAGCATGAGCATGACCGATAAAAATACACGAGAAGATTCGCAAAAAACAAGCAGCCGACGGGCCTGGCCCCACTAACGGCGTGAATATCGGCCGATTTTTTGTGCGGACGAAAATTCGGCTGATAAACGACCCGTCTATGGCCTGCATTAGGCAGGCTCTTATATATTTCATAATTGTTGGTAAATGTAAAGCTCAGCACACATGACACGGATTGTGTTTTACCCTCAGTTCACACCGGAGCGTTTTCCGCAGCATTTTGCGTCTTGTAGAAACGCACTACAGTCCATTCAACATGAATTCCTATGGGGACACATTCACATCTCTGCGTTTTCCCCCCCCGGTGTGGAAAGGGTCGGGGACTTTTTTCAATGCAAAAACTTGCAATTTTGGTTTCATAGACTTCAATGGAGATGCTGCAGAAACACATGTAGTGCTTTTTTCCTGCGGTTTTGATGCACTTTGCTTTTTAAATCTGCTGACCAAAATGAAAAAAAGTGGCAAAAACGCGTAAAAAAACACATGTGCAAAATCGCAATCTGCATCTGGAGTGAACCGAGCCTTAGGCCGGCCATACATGGGTCGAAAATCGACCGAAATGGTTTTGCACAGAGCAGCCCCGATCCTCCTTTTCTCTGATCACCCATTGGTGCTCCAGGCTCCTCCCCCAGGCATGCAATGGGGGGCATTCATGCAGCTCACTCCCCAACCAGCATTAGACACACAGAGCGGGTCCCTGCTATCCCCCGCTATCTCCTCACTAGGTCCCACTGCTGTGTCTGTGCCAATGAGGAGAGAGAGCCTCGTCTCTCAGGCACATCGAGCGACTAAGATCAGGCTCAGTTAAGTATGGGGGGGGGGTAATTGTATGCAGAAGGATTTTCACCTTAAGGCCGACCATACATGGGTCGAAAATCGACCAATTTTTTTTGTCCAAAAATCAGACCCAAGAAAAATCGGCCGATTTTCGCTCTGTTAGTGGGGTCAATGGCACCGGCCGATTTTCATGGTTCCTCCCTATTCAGTGATCGGGCATGTTGGAAAATTCGTGAAAAACAATCGATTTTCAATTCAATGGTCAAATCATACGATCGTTTTTCCGAAAAGGAATATGCGCATGAGCCGTGACCTGGAAGGAGCAGAAGTCTCACCTGTTATATGGGGTGAGCTTTATGCCCCGGTCGGCCGATTTTCTAAATCAATGATGGCGCTGTCGGATTACCGAAGTGCGAACGACGTTTCCGAAAAATCGTTTGGAATTTGAACCATGTATGGCCTGCACTAGACTAACAACGGTGTAGGGCAAGGTGCTCCCTGACTGGTGACAGGTTCTCTTCAATATGACCATGTGACCCAGCAATGGTTTTAGTACCTGAATGGCAGAAGCTCCCAGCAGCGATCCTCCTCCGGTTGTCCTGATAGTGTAGGAGGTGCGACCACAAGGCGGATTTCCCCTGCGACACAAAACACGGGATGAGATCTCCGGCACACGAGCAGGCGTGTACAATCAGAGAGGGAGCAGGCGTGTACAATCAGAGAGGGAGCAGGCGTGTACAATCAGAGAGGGAGCAGGCGTGTACAATCAGAGAGGGAGCAGGCGTGTACAATCAGAGAGGGAGCAGGCGTGTACAATCAGAGAGGGAGCAGGCGTGTACAATCAGAGAGGGAGCAGGCGTGTACAATCAGAGAGGGAGCAGGCGTGTACAATCAGAGAGGGATCATGCGTCTACCTGTTTCACCAGAAGGCCGTGGCTCCAGATCCGCTCCAGAAGGTCGCACAGGCTAGCGATCAGCGTGTTCTCCTCCACCCCGGTGATACTGACTTCTCCATGACCCAACTCCACCGCCTCCCGACCCATCTTCTCCACCAACATCCGCTTCGTCTGAGTCGAGGAAGAGAAACGTCATATCGTCATCGATAAAACTCGACTCAGGACTGCAACTCGTTCAAAGCTGACCCCTGAGGAACCATCACTACTCCATAGCTACGGCTTTCCGAAAATCTTTTTTTGTCTCTTGTACACTTCTTGTGGTGCACGCGCCATGCAGTGTACACTCTCAGGATCAAGGACCTGTGTGCCCAACCTGCAGCTTGAGGGCCACATGTGGCCCTTAGGTACCCGCTGTCCATTGCAGGACCAGCAGTCAATAGTGGAAGCATTACATTAGGATGACGGTGATCTCTAGCAGTCTCTGATTATCTCCTGTAGTGTTCCTTCCATCTCCAAGCACCGCTGATGCATGTCTTCAGTCTCGGACCAATTGCTATAGTAAGGCTAAAGGTCCTGACATGAACCAAACAAAATGTGTGGCCTCTCGGGAGCCGTCAGGGGCCACAGTTGAGGCCTCCTGCATCTTGTACGTTGACAACCACTGACCTATAAAATACCAACAAAGGAGCGGTTTGCTGGCATATTACAAGTCCAGGATATACACTATATTTGCCCACAGTATTGGCCCCGCCCTCCAAATCATGGAATTCAGGTGAATTCAGGATGTGTTCCAATCCCCTCCCCAATCCTGTGATTCAGGTGTGCCAATCCCCTCCAAATCATGTGACTCAGGTGTTCCAATCCCCTCCAAATCATGTGACTCAGGTGTTCCATGTGATCCCCCCTCCAAATCATGTGACTCAGGTGTTCCAATCCCCTCCAAATCATGTGATTCAGGTGTTCCAATCCCCTCCATATCATGTGATTCAGGTGTTCCAATCCCCTCCAAATCATGTGATTCAGGTGTTCCAATCCCCTCCCAATCATGTGATTCAGGTGTTCCAATCCCCTCCAAATCATGTGATTCAGGTGTTCCAATCCCCTCCAAATCATGTGTTCCAATCCCCTCCAAATCATGTGATTCAGGTGTTCCAATCCCCTCCAAATCATGTGATTCAGGTGTTCCAATCCCCTTCCAATCCTGTGATTCAGGTGTTCCAATCCCCTCCCAATCCTGTGATTCAGGTGTTCCAATCCCCTCCCAATCATGTGATTCAGGTGTTCCAATCCCCTCCAAATCATGTGATTCAGGTGTTCCAATCCCCTCCATATCATGTGATTCAGGTGTTCCAATCCCCTCCATATCATGTGATTCAGGTGTTCCAATCCCCTCCATGGACACAGGTGTATACAATCAAGCCCCGAGGCATGCAGACTACTTCTACAAACATTGGTGAAAGAATGGGTCGCTCTCAGGAGCTCAGTGACTCCAAGCGTGGTCCCGTGATAGGTGGCCACCTGGGCAATAAGTCCATCCGTGACATTTCCTGGCTACTAAATATTCCACCAACTGTTAGTGGGATTATAACAAAGTGGAAGCAACTGGGAACAACAGCCACTCAGCCACCAAGTGGTAGGCCACGTCACATGACAGGGCGGGGTCAGCGCTTGCTGAAGCGCACAGTGCGCAGAAGTCGCCAACTGTCTGCAGAGTCAATAGCTAAAGACCCCCAAACTTGGTGTGGCCTTCAGATGAGCCCAACAACAGTGCGTAGAGAGCTTCATGGAATGGGTTTCCATGGCCGAGCAGCTGCATCCAAGCCTTCCATCACCAAGTGCAATGCAAAGTGTCGGATTCCGTGGTGTAAAGCACACCGCCACTGGACTCTAGAGCAGTGGAGGCGTGTTCTCTGGAGTGACCAATCACGCTTCTCTGTCTGGCAATCCGATGGACGTGTCTGGGTTTGGCGGTTGCCAGGAGAACGGTACTTGCCTGACTGCATTGTGCCAAGTGTAAAGTTTGGCAGAGGAGGGATTATGGTGTGGGGGTGTTTTTCAGGGGTTGGACTTGGCCCTCTAGTTCCAGTGAAGGGAACTCTTAAGGCGACATTTTGGACAATTTCATACTCCCAACTTTGGTATGGTACTTGCCTGACTGGTTGGTGACAAACGCTTCCTCCTCCTTCTACAAAGTTACAATGTATAGTCTGATCACTGGATGGAGGGGAGATGGAGGAAATGCTTCCCGCTGCCTGCAGTAGACTGATTCCATTTCAGCCTAGGCAAATCACTGACTGCAGCTCAAGTACAGCTTTTTAATTAGAAAAGGTGGATCTTTTCTGAACATTGATACGGCTGATGTACTCTGTGACATGTCAGGGGACAGGTCCACTTTAAGGCACAAGATTTTCAGTTGAGACTCAAGCATACAGTTAAAATACCAAACATTGCTCAGCCCAATGAAAGCTTCAGTCCACTTCCCAATTATGGATTCTGTCCAATAGTAAAGAATTATGGCGCTCCAATCCCAGGGAACGTCTGGGGGGTGCGCACTAGTAGTAGCAGGTCTGTGCAAACCCACATGGAAGAAAAATATATTTGAAATGGATTTTAAAAATATTCTTCCCAAATATATTGACCTATATTAGAAATGCTACAATTTTGGCCATATTCAATATATTTAAAAATATATTTCAATAAATATATATATATTTTTAAAATATATTCTTCAGATTTTTTTTAACATATAAAAAAAAAGTCATTTTTACATATATTTGTAAAACGCGTTTCAAAAATGTAGATTTGTATTTTTAACCACTTCCAGTCCAGTCCGGATCACTTTTTTCACCCCCTTCCTGGACCACTTTCCCCCCTTCCAGTCCGGACAATTTTCAGCTTTTCAGCAGCGCTATCACACTTTGAATGACAATTGCGCGGTCATGCAACACTGTACCCAAATTAATTTTTTACCATTTTTTTGAGACAGATAAAGCTTTATTTTGGTGGTATTTATTCACCGCTGGGATTTGTATTTTTTTTGCTATGTAAATGAAATGTCCAAAAATTTTGAAAAAAAGTGTTTTTTTTTATAAAATTTTGCAAATAAATAATATTTCATCATAAATCTTAGCCAAAATTTATTCCGTTATCTTTTTTGTAAAAAAAAAGAAAAATCCAAATTAGTTTATAAGCAAAAATTATAATTTTTAAACATTTTTATTTAATTTTTTTCTATTATTTTTTATTTGTATTTTTATTTTTTACATACGGTCACCATGGTAACACTGTACTACTTGTGGGGGGTGATGAAGATTTTTTTTTTTTTTTTTTTTTTTACACTGATTGCTTTTACACCCATATAGGATGTAAAAGCAATCATTTCTCCTTCTCTCTGGCTGCATTCTTGCACTCATTGAGAAGTACTGAGTGAACTGTGATTGGTCACAGCTTGTCACATGGTACAAGGCTTTTGTGAATAGCCCTGTACCATGTGACCTCTGTGATCATTCACAGATTTCACACGTAGTAAGCAATGATGTCAGAAGTGACATCTTGCTTACTACTTTGCATGTGATCACTGATTGGCCAATCAGTGATCACATGATCGGGACCTCGCACAGAGGTCCGTCCGACGATCGGTGTTTCACTGTGTCCGGAGGACACGGCGGGCACCGGATCGCGGTGCTGCGCGCTCCCAGGGAGCGCGCACAAGCAGGGTGCGGGGAGGCCGTTTATAGACGGCCACCCGACCCTGCAGTGCCACCGTCTGGCCGTTTATATACAACGGGACCGGACGGGAGGTGGTTAAAGACATACAGTATATTTGAAATGTATTTTTAAAAATATTTTTCACAGAAAAAATGTGTTTTTATTACAAAATATATGAAAAATATTTTTAAAAATACATTTCAAATATACTGTATGTCTTTAAAAATACAAATCTACATTTTTGAAACGCGTTTACAAAAAAATATATGTTAAAATGACTTTTTTTTTATATGTTAAAAAAAAATCTGAAGAATATATTTTAAAAAATAGATATTTAATTATTGAAATATATTTCGAAGTATATTGAATACGGCCAAAATTGTAGTATTTCAAATATAGGTCAATAGATTTGGGAAGAATATTTTTAAAATATATTTTTCTTCCATGTGGGAACAATTCCCAATAAAGTGTCACAGCCTCAAGCACGGCGACAAGGCCCAACGTCCACGCCGGCTCAGCGCACAGTCCACGCCCACCGCGGTAGTCAGGATGATGGACGCACCTTATTGCGACACTCCTTTAGCAGACCTTCCACAAACTTCCAGTTGGTCTGGGCGATGACAGAGGGGGAGAGGTTGGAGAGTTTGGGTTGGCGGATGGTGCTCCCCAAATTCCGGGCTTCCTGGATGTATTTCTAGAAATAGAATCATTTTTAAATTAAAAGTAACATTTTAAAAAACAAATTAACCAGCTACTCGTGTGCAACAAATTCCATCCAAGTACACAGAGCTTGTAAAGTACAGACGTACCTCGGTTTGCGAATCTAATGCATTCCGCAGGACGTTTCGTACTGCGAAAAATTCGTAAACCGAAATGTGGTCTTCCCATAGGAATGCATTGAAACCCAATTAATCCGTTTCGGAGGTCAGAAAATCAGAAAAAAGTAAAAAAAAAAAAAAAAAAAAAAAAGTCCTACCTTTTTAAAACACTTTATAAAGTGCACTTTAACCACCTCCCGCCCTCCATATAGTAATATGATGGGCGCAAGGTGGTTCTCTCGTTCTGAGAGGACGTCATATGACGTCCTCCCATTCTCACTGCACATGCGCGCAGGGAAGCGCGCAGCGCGGCGATCGGCGGTGCGCTGTGTCCCTTGGATCATCGATCACGGAAAGAGCCGAAGATGTCGGCTCGGTCATGCGATCAGCTGTGTCCAATCACAGCTGATCACATGTAAACAGGGGAAACCATGGTGACACTGTACTACTTGTGGGGGTGAGGAAGATTTTTTTTTTTTTTTGTTACACCGATCGCTGTTACACCGATCGCTTTTACACCCATAAAGGCTGTAAAAGCAATAATTTCTTCTTCTCTCTGGCTGCATTCCTGCAGCCATTGAGAAATACTGTGCAAGCTGTGATTGGTCACAGCTTTTCACATGGTACAAGGCTGTTGTGAATGGCCCTGTACCATGTGATCTCTGTGATTATTCACCGATTTCACATGTAATAAGCAATGATATCAGAAGTGACATCTTGCTTACTACTCTGCATGTGATCACATGACTGGGACCTCTGTACAGCGATCGGTGTTCCACTGTGTCTGGAGGATTGCGGTGCTGCACGTTCCCAGGGAGCGCGCACAAGCAGGGGGCAGGGAGGCCGTTTATATAAATGGCCACCAGCTCCTGCTCTGCTCCCATCCGTTTATATATACGTGGGCCGGACGGGAAGTGGTTAAATATTTCGATCACATGAAAGCCCTCTGGTGCAAACAGGGGCGGACTGACCATTCGAGCACTGCCCGAGGGCCCGGGGTCAGTAGGGGGCTCCATGAAATTCCCCTGGTACCTTTTTTATAGGCTTTTTTGAGTGTGCGCAAGGACACAGGGGCCCCATGATCCCCTATTGCCCGGGGGCCCCATGAGTTGTCAGTCCGCCCCTGGGTGCAAATAATTCTGCAAAATTAACAACTTTGTAAATTTCTTCATGTGAACTGACTCGCTGTGAAGGAACTACAAGTCCCAGCATGTTCGGCTCCTCACTCACCTCCCTCTGATCATTGTCCAGTCTGAGGTGCTCAGTGTGCTGCTTCTGTCTGTCCTTCCTCCGCCACTGCGCCGGGGCGTTCCGCTTTGTCCACCTGCGGGTTAAAATTTTAATTTTTTTTTTAAAAAAACCACAAATCAGAAATGACCTGCGATACTGGAGAGGTGGGAGAAGAGAGCAGGAAATATACGACGGAAGCAATAAGAACTGTCTGTGCTGAACCGTGTTCACCACAGCAAGGCTGTGCAGGGAAATGGCAGTTGCAGAATGAACGGTTGAATCCCATTGGTAGAGACGAGGGATTATACCACACACATGATCTGCTGGGCCTTACTTGTTGGTGGCCGGTCCCCGTGGATAGGACATCGGACTGGAGTTTAGGGAAGAACCCCGGCTCGTACTTCCCCTGTCCGATCTTCATGTCCAGGAGATGGGGGTGGATAGCGGTGTGGTCAATCTTGGAGAGTCGCTGCTCTATGGACTTGACTGCAAGAAACAAAAATGGGGAAAAAAAAAAAAAAAATTGTTTAATTTTTTGGGGCACCAAAAACGTGCAGAACCCTTATTTGGCCCGCACTAGAATCGGATCGCACGGGATATTCACACCTATTGGATCCAATTCTGCCCATCGCACCGCGTTTTGTGGACCAATTTCGGGGTGTTAACTTAACATACACACCTGCAGCGGTTCGCATCCATGGGGTGCGATTTTGATGCCGTGCGGAATTCACGCAGAAAACACTGAGAATACCGCATCAGTGTGAACCCGGGGCTTATACAAGCTGGACACTGACTACGACACATTGTAGCAAAGTGTCATTTCTTCAGTGTTGTCACATGGAAAGAGATGAAAATATTGACACAAATGTGGGGGGGAGGGGGGACTCACTTCTGGGAGATACTATATATATATATATATGTATATATATACACACACACCATATTGCCCAAGTATGGGGCCTCCGGCCTACGCACATACATACACCACACTTAGTCCGTAGGGTTCATATTGCCCAAGTACGGGGCGCCAGCCTTTCCACACACATGACCTTTAGTGGCCCCCCAGTCTTAGTCCGTAGGGTTCAATATTGAGTTGGCCCCGCCCTTTCCACACACATGACCTTTAATGCCCCCCCCAGTCTAGGTCCGTAGGGTTCCATATTGAGTTGGCCCCGCCCTTTCCACACACATGACATTTAATGCCCCCCCCAGTCTTAGTCCGTAGGGTTCAATATTGAGTTGGCCCCGCCCTTTCCACACACATGACATTTAATGGCCCCCGTCTTAGTCCGTTAGGGTTCAATATTGAGTTGGCCCCGCCCTTTCCACGCACATGACCTTTAATGGCCCCCCAGTCTTAGTCCGTAGGGTTCAATATTGAGTTGGCCCCGCCCTTTCCACACACATGACCTTTAATGGCCCCCCAGTCTTAGTCCTAAGGGTTCAATATTGAGTTGGCCCCGCCCTTTCCACACACATGACATTTAATGGCCCCCCAGTCTTAGTCCGTAGGGTTCAATATTGAGTTGGCCCCGCCCTTTCCACACACATGACATTTAATGGCCCCCCTGTCTTAGTCCGTAGGGTTCAATATTGAGTTGGCCCCGCCCTTTCCACACACATGACATTTAATGGCCCCCCTGTCTTAGTCCGTAGGGTTCAATATTGAGTTGGCCCCGCCCTTTCCACACACATGACCTTTAATGGCCCCCCAGTCTTAGTCCGTAGGGTTCAATATTGAGTTGGCCCCGCCCTTTGCAGCTATAACAGCTCCAACTCTTCTGGGAAGGCCGTCCACAAGGTTTAGGAGGGTGTCTATGGGAAGGTTGGACCATTCTTCCAGAAGCACATTTGTCAGGTCAGGCACTGATGTCGGGGGAGGAGGCCTGGCTCACAGTCTCCGCTCTAATTCATCCCAAAGGTGTTCTATGGGGTTGAGGTCAGGACTCTGTGCAGGACAGTCAAGTTCCTCCACCCCAAACTGGCTCCTCCATGTCTTTATGGACCTTGCTTTGTGCACTGGTGGGCAGTCATGTTGGAACAGGAAGGGGCCATCACCAAACTCCTCCCACAAAGTTGGGAACATGAAATGGTCACCTTAAAAGTTCCCTTCACTGGAACTAGGGGGCCAAGCCCAACCCCTGAAAAACAACCCCATACCATAATCCTCCCTCCACCAAACTTTACATTTGGCACAATGCAGTCAGGCAACAACCGTTCTCCTGGTAACCACCAAACCCAGACATGTCCATCGGATTGTCAGACAGAGAAGCGTGATTGGTCACTCCAGAGAACACGTCTCCCCTGCTCTAGAGTCCAGTGGCGGCGTGCTTTACACCACGGCATCCGACACTTTGCATTGCACTTGGTGATGGAAGGCTTGGATGCAGCTGCTCGGCCATGGAAACCCATTCCATGAAGCTCTCTACGCACTGTTGTTGGGCTCATCTGAAGGCCACACCAAGTTTGGAGGTCTTTGGCTATTGACTCTGCAGACAGTTGGCGACTTCTGCGCACTGTGCGCTTCAGCATGCGCTGACCCCGCCCTGTCATGTGACGTGGAATACCACTTGGTGGCTCTGAGTGGCTGTTGTTCCCAGTTGCTTCCACTTTGTTATAATCCCACTAACAGTTGAGCGTGGAATATTTAGTAGCCAGGAAATGTCCCGGATGGACTTATTGCCCAGGTGGCCACCTATCACGGGACCACGCTTGGAGTCACTGAGCTCCTGAGAGCGACCCATTCTTTCACCAATGTTTGTAGAAGCCGTCTGCATGTCTAGGGGCTTGATTGTATACACCTGTGTCCATGGAGGGGATTGGAACACCTGAATCACATGATATGGAGGGGATTGGAACACCTGAATCACATGATTGGAGGGGATTGGAACACCTGAATCACATGATTGGGAGGGGATTGGAACACCTGAATCACATGATATGGAGGGGATTGGAATGCCTGAATCACATGATATTGAGGGGATTGGAGCACCTGAATCACATCATTGGGAGGGGATTGGAACACCTGAATCACATGATTGGGAGGGGATTGGAATGCCTGAATCACATGATATGGAGGGGATTGGAACACCTGAATCACATGATTGGGAGGGGGATCGGAATGCCTGAATCACATGATATGGAGGGGATTGGAACACCTGAATCACATGATTGGGAGGGGATTGGAACACCTGAATCACATGATTGGGAGGGGATTGGAATGCCTGAATCACATGATATGGAGGGGATTGGAGCACCTAAATCACATGATGTGGGGGGCTGGTCCAATACTTTTGGCATTATATTGTGTATGGCGGACAGGAAGTGGTTAAAGGGGCAGATTTCAGGACTGTAATTCTTTACTTTTGCTTCACTACAAGCAGGAGGAGGACAGTCCCAGAATCTGCACCCTTACAACAAGTGAGCAATGGCCGCTCTCCTGCTGAAAATAAGGATCCTTATCCTGTTGTGATAGCTCAGTGAATGGAGCCAATTCCCATTGGTGGGAGGCTTCCCATGCCTCATACCTCATTACCAGTATAGGAAGCCCCGCCTCCCTCATTACCAGTATAGGAAGCCCGCCTCCCTCATTACCAGTATAGGAAGCCCCGCCTCCCTCATTACCAGTATAGGAAGCCCCGCCTCCCTCATTACCAGTATAGGAAGCCCCGCCTCCCTCATTACCAGTATAGGAAGCCCCGCCTCCCTCATACCTCATTACCAGTATAGGTAGCCCCGCCTCCCTCATTACCAGTATAGGAAGGCCCCGCCTCCCTCATTACCAGTATAGGAAGCCCCACCTCCCTCATTACCAGTACAGGAAGCCCCGCCTCCCTTTAATATTAGTACAGGAAGCCCCACCTCCCTCATTACCAGTATAGGAAGCCCCGCCTCCCTCATTACCAGTATAGGTAGCCCCGCCTCCCTCATTACCAGTATAGGTAGCCCCGCCTCCCTCATTACCAGTATAGGAAGCCCCGCCTCCCTCATTACCAGTACAGGAAGCCCCCGCCTCCCTCAGTGAGCGCCATACCTGCTTCCTCGATGTTGGTGCATTTCTGGTACATGGAGGTGCGCAGCGTGGGCGTTCTGACGTTCAGTTGCCGTATCTTGTCCACTCGGCAGTCGAAAGACTCGTAAGACGGGATCTTTGTCGTCCTCGTCGTGACACATGATTTTGTTGTCGATGAAAGAGGCGAACATCTGCGTCTCCAGGAAGCGCGAGAGGAACGGGGAGGTACGGCTCCGGCTGGTCGGAGAGGAAAAGACGCCTGGGGGGGGGGGGGGAATGATGATCATGAGTTTCTAGAAAGCCAATACCACAAAGAATGATTTAACCAGTGGAGGAGTTTAAAGAGGACCTGTCATTACACATTATTGCAGGTTCAATGCAGCAAGTCATGATTGGGGTATTTAATACCATTCAGAGATCAGCGTACTCCTCCAACAGTGCCTTCATCTGCTTTTATCCCCAGAAGGATGGCACCAACTTGGTTCAGGTATTGTGCAGGGTCACCAATGTACAGTCTGATCACTGGGGGAGGGGTGACTGAGGAAATGCCTCCTCCTCCTCCTTCTACAAAGTTACAATGTACAGTCTGATCACTGGGGGAGGGGGGGACTGAGGAAATGCCTCCTCCTTCTCCTTCTACAAAGTTACAATGTACAGTCTGATCACTGGGGGAGGGGGGACTGAGGAAATGCCTCCTCCTTCCTCCTTCTACAAAGTTACAATGTACAGTCTGATCACTGGGGGAGGGGGACTGAGGAAATGCCTCCTCCTCCTCCTTCTACAAAGTTACAATGTACAGTCTGATCACTGGGGGAGGGGGGGACTGAGGAAATGCCTCCTCCTCCTCCTTCTACAAAGTTACAATGTACAGTCTGATCACTGGGGAGGACAGCCTGAGGAAATACCTCCTCCTCCTTCTACAAAGTTACAATGTACAGTCTGATCACTGGGGGAGGGGGGACTGAGGAAATGCCTCCTCCTCCTCCTTCTACAAAGTTACAATGTACAGTCTGATCCCTGGGGGAGGGGAGACTGAGGAAATGCCTCCTGCTCCTCCTTCTACAAAGTTACAATGTACAGTCTGATCGCTGGGGGAGGGGGGACTGAGGAAATGCCTCCTCCTTCTACAAAGTTACAATGTGCAGTCTGATCGCTGGGGGAGGGGGGACTGAGGAAATGCCTCCTCCTTCTACAAAGTTACAATTTACAGTCTGATCACTGGGGGAGGGAAGACTGAGGAAATTACTCCTCCTCCTCCTTCTACAAAGTTACAATGTACAGTCTGATCACTGGGGGAGGGGAGACTGAGGAAATGCCTTCTCCTCCTGCAAAGTTACAATGTACAGTCTGATCACTGGGGGAGGAGGGACTGAGGAAATGCCTCCTCCTCCTCCTTCTACAAAGTTACAATGTACAGTCTGATCCCTGGGGGATGAGACTCAGGAAATGCTTCCTCCTGCCTGCAGCAGACTGATGACATCATCTCAGCCTAGGCAGAGTCACTGATGGAGGGCTTTTTAATGATAAATTGGAATCTTTCCTGAGAAATGATCTTGTTGCTGTGTGATGTGACAGGTGGGGAAGGCATTCCTGCAGATTTGGGTGATCACTCGCCCGCCCGCCGCCCGCCTCACCTTGTCGAAGTTCTGCATCTGCTCCCGGTTGTTGAACCACGACTCCTTGTCTTGGCTGGGCTGGATGACGAAGACCTCGTAGTCGGCAAACATCTGCGTGAAGCGGTTGGCGAACACCTCCCGGGTGTGGATGTTGAGTTGGTGAATTCGGAGTTCCTCCTCATTACACTGGAATTTCGTGTCCTTCTTGCTGGTCGATTCTATCTGAACCTCCACCTGCAGCCCAATGAGAGGCCAGTCAGACCATCAATACAGGAAAAAAACACGGTTCTCAGATCTGATGGAGAGTTGGACGGATCCGGGGCCAATGGAGGGAGGAGTCAGGGAGATGAGAGGCCGAGGATACACCCCACAATGAGATCCGAGGATCCCAGCCCCGGGAGACCCGGACACCCTGCAAGGATGGACATCCGCCACTCACAGCCAGTCTGGTCAGTCAAAGTGTTGCAGGCTTATTACAGGGGGGGCAAGGAGCATAGGAAGAATATGAAGGAGGAGGAGATGATGGAGAGGAGGGGGAGAAGGAGGAGGGGGAGGAGAGGGAGGAGAGGGAGGGGGAGAAGGAGGGGAGGGAGGAGAGGGAGGAGGAGGAGAGGGAGGAGGAGGAGAGAGAGAAGGAGGAGGGGGAGGGGGGGAGGAGAGGGAGGGGGAGGAGAGGGAGGACGGGAGGGGGGAGGGAGGACGGGGAGGGGAGAGGAGGAGGGGGGAGGGGGGAGGGAGGAGGGGGAGGGGGGAGGAGGAGGAGGAGGGGGGGGGAGGAGGGCGAGAGGAGGAGGGGGGGGAGGAGGGCGAGAGGGAGGAGGGGGGAGGAGGGCGAGAGGGGGAGAAGGAAGGGGGGGGGGGAGAAGGAGGGAGGGGGGGGAGGGGGGGGAGAAGGAGAAGGGGGGAAAAGAAGGAGGAGGGGGGAAAAGAAGGAGGGGGGGGAGGAGGGGGGCAGAAGGAGGAGGGGGGAGGAGGGGGGCAGAAGGAGGAGGGGGGAGGAGGGGGGCAGAAGGAGGAGGGGGGAGGAGGGGGGGCAGAAGAAGGGGGAGGGGGGAGGGGAGGGGGGGGGCAGAAGGGGGAGGGGGGAGGAGGGGGGCAGAAGGGGGCAGGGAGGGGGGGAGAAGGAGGAGGGGGGCAGAAGGAGGAGGGGGGGAGAAGGAGGGGGGGCAGAAGGAGGAGGGGGGCAGAAGGAGGGAGGGGGGAGAAGGGGGAGGGGGGGGGGAGGAAGGAGGAGGGGAGGGAGAGGAGGAGGAGGGGGGGAGAGGCAGAAGAAGGAGCACAAAGAGAAGGAGAAAAAGGAGCAGATGATGGAGAGGAGGAGAGGGAGAGAAGAGGAGAGGGATTCACTATATCCGCTCTCCCCGGACCCGCATTCACTATATCCGCTCTCCCCGGACCCCGCATTCACTATATCCGCTCTCCCCGGACCCCGCATTCACTATATCCGCTCTCCCCGGGACTCCGCATTCACTATATCCGCTCTCCCCGAACCCCGCATTCACTATATCCGCTCTCCCCGGACCCCGCATTCACTACATCCGCTCTCCCCGGACCCGCATTCACTATATCCGCTCTCCCCGGACCCCGCATTCACTATATCCGCTCTCCCCGGACCCGCATTCACTATATCCGCTCTCCCCGGACTCCGCATTCACTATATCCGCTCTCCCCGAACCCGCATTCACTATATCCGCTCTCCCCGGACCCCGCATTCACTATATCCGCTCTCCCCGGACCCCGCATTCACCATATCCGCTCTCCCCGGACCCCGCATTCACTATATCCGCTCTCCCCGGACTCCGCATTCACCTATATCCGCTCTCCCGGACCCCGCATTCACTATATCCGCTCTCCCCGGACCCGCATTCACTATATCCGCTCTCCCCGGACCCCGCATTTCACTATATCCGCTCTCCCCGGACCCCGCATTCACTATATCTTGTCTCCCGGACCCCGCATTCACTATATCCGGTCTCCCCGGACCCCGCATTCACTATATCCGCTCTCCCCGGACCCCGCATTCACTATATCCGGTCTCCCCGGACCCCGCATTCACTATATCCGGTCTCCCCGGACCCCGCATTCACTATATCCGCTCTCCCCGGACCCCGCATTCACTATATCCGGTCTCCCCAGACCCCGCATTCACTATATCCGGTCTCCCCAGACCCCGCATTCACTATATCCGCTCTCCCCGGACCCCGCATTCACTGTATACGCTGTCCCCGGACCCCGCATTCACTATATCCGCTCTCCCCAGACCCTGCATTCACTATATCCGCTCTCCCCGGACCCCGCATTCACTATATCCGGTCTCCCCAGACCCCGCATTCACTATATCCGCTCTCCCGGACCCTGCATTCACTATATCCGCTCTCCCCAGGACCCCGCATTCACTATATCCGCTCTCCCCAGACCCTGCATTCACTATATCCGCTCTCCCCCGGACCCCGCATTCACTATATCCGCTCTCCCAGACCCCGCGTTCACTATATCCGCTCTCCCCGGACCCCGCATTCACTATATCCGCTCTCCCCGGACCCCGCATTCACTATATCCGCTCTCCCCAGACCCCGCGTTCACTATATCTGGTCTCCCACAGTACACAGAACATGGAAGGGCAATTATTTTAGTAAATATAAACTGGGTTTAACAACACTTTGAGGACTTTTGCAAGGTCTACTCATCTAGGTGTCATGCTGATGCAGACAAGGATCTCCAACCATACAGATCTACTTATGTGGTCCAGGAATTGTGACAAATGTGGAGATCCAAGGGTTACTATAACAGCCAGGCAACCAGAATTTTCAGGTTGTCTTAGGTGGATCTCACGGACCCTAGCTATCATGCACAAAACCCAACTGAGGCGAGAGGCTTCTGACCTTCTCCAAACTGACTCCAGTCCTCTTCACCAAGGCCTGAATGCGTGCCAAGGTCTCGTTCTCCTTCAGAAGCTCATAGGAGTTGAGTGGAGATCCAGCCAGGTTGCCGTTCTTCTTGTCGGACACCAGATCTGCAGCTTTGAGACTCTTCAGTTTGGAGACGCTCTCGCTGCAGTGGAGATTCCCCTCAGGTGGGATGCGAAGGACATCAGGACCTCGGAGACCTCCTGAATGAACTCCAGTTTATTGGGGAACTGCGGAAGATCCTCAGGAAGCTCAATGAAATGGTTGTCAATATCCACAAAACAAAGATTGGCCTGGAAGAAATAAAGAGAAGGAGGAGGTTAAGGAGGAAAAGGAAGATAAGGAGAAGAAGAAAGAGGAGAAGGAGAATAAAGAGGAGGAGGAGAGAAGGAGAATAAAGAGGAGGAGGAGGAGGAGAATATAGAGGAGGAGGAGAATATAGAGGAGGAGGAGAAGGAAGAATATAGATGAGGAGGAGAAGGAGAATAAAGAGGAGGAGGAGAATATAGAGGAGGAGGAGGAGGAGAATATAGAGGAGGAGGAGAAGGAGAATAAAGAGGAGGAGGAGGAGAATAAACAGGAGGAGGAGGAGAAGGAGAATAAACAGGAGGAGGAGGAGGAGGAGAAGGATAATAAAGAGGAGGAGAAGGAGGAGGAGGAGAAGGAGAGGAGGAGGAGGAGGAGGAGGAGGAGAATAACAAGGAGGAGGAGAAGGAGAATAAAGAGGAGGAGGAGAAGAAAGAGAAGAAAGAAGATAAAAAGGAAGAGGAGGAGGAAAAGAATAAAAAGGAGAGAAGGAAAATAAAAAGGAGGAGAAGGAGAATGAGAAGGAGGATAAGAAGAACCGAGGAGGATAAAGGAGAATAATGTTCACTACACATTTGCAGCAAACCATGCAACCAGTGCAATATGGAGAACAGTTCATCACGGAGCTAAAAGATAAAAAAACTGAATTCAAAGACACGGTCTGAACAGTTATTTTATTATTGGTGTTATTATTTTTTTTTTTTTTGCACTTGTCAGACCAATATAATAAAAAGAGAGAGGAGAGGGCGCCAGACTGAGTGCAGCATTAGATGTACGATTTATTGGCATAGTAACAATTGACATCCTCCTTCAGTTCCCGGGAGTCTGGACCACGTCTTCGGTGACATGCCCAATTCTTTTTTTAACTCTTGTAAGTTGTCAACTGTTACTGTGCCAATAAATCGTACATCTAATGCTGCACTTAGTCTGGCGCCCCCTCCTCTCTTTCTTTTGCATACCGAGTCCAGCTTTGCTCTGAGGGTGCTGGTACTGATGCTGCCGCTTTGCTAATGTGCCAATGTGAATAATCATAATTCCCCCCCCCCCCCCCCCCCATCTTGGACTTTGATGGACTTTTTTTTTTTTTTAGCTCCCCCTCTCTCTCTATCTTTTATCCATCTCTCTCTCTCTATCCATCGCTCTCTCTCTATCCATCGCTCTCTCTCTCTATCCGTCTCTCTCTATCCATCCCTCTCTCCCTCCATCTCTGTCTATCCATCCATCTCTCTCCATCCCTCTCTCTCTCCATCCCTCTCCATCCGCATCCCTCTCCATCCCTCCTCCCTCTCTTTCTCTCTCTCTCTCCCTCCTCCCTCCCACCCATCTCTCTCTCCACCCGTCTCTCTCCCTCTCTCTACCCGTCTCTCCCTCTCTCTACCCGTCTCTCCTCTCTCCCCCCCAGTCTCTCCCCCTCTCCACCCCCCATCTCCATCTCTCCCTCTCCATCAATCCATCCATCTCTCTCTCTCCACCACACTCTCTCTCCATCCCTCTCTCTCCACCTCTCTCCCCACCCACCTCTCTCTCTCTCTCTCTGCCCGTCTCTCTCTCTCTCTCTCCATATATATATATATATATATATCTATCCATCTCTCTCTCTCTCTCTCTATATATCTCGCTCTATATCTATCTCTCCCTCTCTCCCTCCATCCGTCCCTTTCTCTCTCCACCCGTCTCTCTCTCTATATATATATCTCGCTCTATATCTCTCTCTCCATCTATCTATATATATCCCATGCAGCGCCAAATCTGTATATATTACAATACAATAAAAAAAAAAAACTTTTGATGGGATATTTATTATTTTATATTTAACAGACTAAAATGGAGAGAATAAGAAACATTTTCTGACAGACTTTACATACTCGCAGCACAGAGACCAAACTGACGGAGACCGTTCTCAGTCCCTACCAACAGAGGGTAGATGGCAGGACCAACTCCCGATCGAGTGACCACTGTGACAGCCAATCATAGTGGTCACATGATCATCAATCCTTTGTAACAAACCCCCCCCCCCCCCCCGGGTTCAGAACCTTTTTAAAGGAAGGGGTTAAAAGTGTTTTGAAACACAAACTGTTTCATGCTGCGCCTGTATCTGCAATCTCAGATGGACATCCCTGAGCCCGGCTTTTATATGAATGAACCTCTTTAGTTGTGTTGGCTGTAGATTGACCTACAGCTCTCCGGAGGTTCTTAGCAGAAAGTCCCAGCATCTTCTCAGCTGTAGTCACCACAAGAGTGCGGATTGTCCCGTAGAAGCCACTCATGCTGGACGATCAGCGGTGAGCCGTCAGCTCAGAATAATCCGCCAATTGTTCTGGCAACTCAATGATTCCTTGTGTGCCGCGCTCACACACTGCCGGCCTTCATCGGGATATAAAGTGCCTTCCGACGGCACCTCTGTCACTGCTCTCCGGGATGGACCGGGTTCTGCTGCCGCTACGTTGTCCTCTTTAGTTTGGATTGAAAGAGACAACGGCCAATCGGAGTAAAGTGATAGTATCTACAGACAGCAAACCTGATGGAGCTCAGAGAGGAGGGGGGGGGGGGGGGGGGGGGGGTGATGCCAAGGCACCCTCTCCAACCTGACAGTTTTAGGGCCTGCTGATTGGTTGTCATACACTTCCATACCTGAAAGATCCGCTCTGTTAGCAAGGACCCCAACAGTGCAGGAGTGTGGCGAAGTATACATGACTGCAGGGTGGGCTATCTGAAACGGCAACATGACAGGGCCTCTTTAAAGGGAAACTACTTTGTATGTTGAAGAAGAGCTACATTGCATCTGGGCAAACCAAAAACTCTCATTTATTTTTCATATTCAAAGCAAACTCTCCATGAAATGACATAAAAAACACATTGAGAAGGGTTGGAGAACCCAAGGTTGACCTCCATCTTGAAATTCTAGTTGCCGGCCATCAATACTTCCAAGTCACTGACCCACAACAATTCAGGCAAAGAAAGTAAAAAAAAAGTCAGGAGACCTTATCTGCACACTTGTTCTGGGGCGGGGACTCGGATACCAGACGATAACTAATTCAACTAGGAAGCCTCCATGCCCCTTCAGGAGAGGTCTTCTTCAACCCCAGGGGATGGAGATGGTAAAGATTTTGACTGCCAGACTTGCTCACCTCCTGCGGTAGCTCCAGCTTGGACCTGTCATCCAGCCCATTGGAGTGTAGCCCCATCAGGTAGGGCACCGGTGCATCCAGGAAGTGGAGGAGGGACGCTGGAAGGATTGGCACGTAGACGTGCTGCCACTGGAAGGGGAACATCAGACCCGTGATGGTTTCCGCCACCGTCATCAGCCTCTGGTAATCTGCAAATCAAGAAGGTAACGTGACCACAGATGTAGCGGTGACACCATGGAGGATGCTCAGATCCCAAAGATTTTTTTCTTTCTTTCATGGAATATAGAAAGATTAGAACTAGGGGCATACCTACATATCATGGGGCCCCATTGCAACATTTTAAGAGGGGCCCCCCCCAACAACCACTGTCTGTAGCACAGTTTTAGGTGTGACAAGGTCACTGACCTTCCAGAATGCCTGAATCGAGGCAGGAGAGAGGTCAGCATAGTCCATATACAGGCAAAAAGCAGGTTGCCAGGGAAGAGCAACAGTGCAGGAAATTAAATGTAAAGAGGTTTCCAAGGCTGAAGGATTTTTTTTTGTTTTTTTTTTTACACCTTTCATACATTCTGTGCATGAAGGTAAAAAACCTCCTGCAAGCAGCTCTCCTCCCCCAATACTTACCTGAGCCCGATCTCAATCCAGTGATGCGCAGCGGTCCTCACTGGCTCAGAGATTTATTTTTTCTTGCAGGTACTTCTATAGCGCTGTCGATTTACACAGCATTTTACATATATATTGAGCATTCACATCAGTCCCCGCCCCCGAGGAGCGTACAATCTAAGGTCCCTAATTTACATATACACAGACTAGGGCCAATTTAGACAGGAGCCAATTAGCCTACTAGCATGTCTTTGGAGCGTTGGAGGAAACAGGAGTACCCGTAGGAAACCCATGCAGGCACAGGGAGAACTTGCAAACTCCAGGCAGGTGGTGCCGTGGTTGGGATACACTATATTGCCAATAATACTGGGCCAGCCCTCCAAATCATGTGATTCAGATGTTCCAATCCCCTCCATATGTGATTCAGGTGTCCCAATCCCCTCCATATCATGTGATTCAGGTGCTCCAATCCCCCCATGGACACAGGTGTATACAATCAAGCCCCTAGGCATGCAGACAGCTTCTACAAACATTGGTGAAAGAATGGGTCGCTCTCAGGAGCTCAGTGACTCCAAGCGTGGTCCCGTGATAGGTGGCCACCTGAGCAATAAGTCCATCCGTGACATTTCCTGGCTACTAAATATTCCACGCTCAACTGTTAGTGGGATTATAACAAAGTGGAAGCAACTGGGAACAACAGCCACTCAGCCACCAAGTGGTAGGCCACGTCACATGACAGGGCGGGGGGTGTCAGCGCATGCTGAAGCGCACAGTGCGCAGAAGTCACCAACTGTCTGCAGAGTCAATAGCTAAAGACCTCCATACTTGGTGTGGCCTTCAGATGAGCCCAACAACAGTGCGTAGAGAGCTTCATGGAATGGGTTTCCATGGCCGAGCAGCTGCATCCAAGCCTTCTATCACCAAGTGCAATGCAAAGCGTTGGATGCTGTGGTGTAAAGCACGCTGCCACTGGACTCTAGAGCAGTGGAGAAGTGTTCTCTGGAGGGACCAATCACGCTTCTTTGTCTGGCGGATGGACGTGTCTGGGTTTGGCGGTGGAGAACGGTACTTGTCTGACTGCATTGTGCCAAGTGTAAAGTTTGGTGGCGGGGGGGGGATTATGGTGTGGGGTTGTTTTTCAGGGGTTGGGCTTGGCCCCCTAGTTCCAGTGAAGGAAACTCTTAAGGTGACATTTTGGACAATTTCATGCTCTCAACTTTGCCGGGAGGAGTTTGGGGATGGCCCCTTCCTGTTCCAACAATGACTGCACACCAGTGCACAAAGCAAGGTCCATAAAGACATGGAGGAGCCAGTTTGGGGTGGAGGAACTTGACTGTCCTGCACAGAGTCCTGACCTCAACCCCATAGAACCCCTTTGGGATGAATTAGAGTGGAGACAGCGAGCCAGGCCCCCTCCCCCGACATCAGTGCCTGACCTGACAAATGTGCTTCTGGAAGAATGGTCCAACCTTCCCATAGACACCCTCCTAAACCTTGTGGACGGCCTTCCCAGAAGAGTTGAAGCTGTTATAGCTGCAAAGGGCGGGGCCAACTCAATATTGAACCCTACGGACTAAGACTGGGGGGCCATTAAAGGTCGTGTGTGTGTGGAAAGGGCGGGGGCCAACTCAATATTGAACCCCTACGGACTAAGACTGGGGGGGCCATTAAAGGTCATGTGTGTGGAAAGGGCGGGGCCAACTCAATATTGAACCCTACGGACTAAGACTGGGGGGGCCATTAAAGGTCATGTGTGTGGAAAGGGCGGGGCCAACTCAATATTGAACCCTACGGACTAAGATGGGGGGCCATTTTAAGGTTCATGTGTGTGGAAAGGGCGGGGCCAACTCAATATTGAACCCTACGGACTAAGACTGGGGGGCCATTAAAGGTCATGTGTGTGGAAAGGCCGGTGGTCCAAAAACTTTTGGCATCATAGTGTAGACATTAGCTCCCACTGCTGTCAATCACAGCAGTGAGGAGGGAGCGGGGGGGGGGGGGGGGGGGGGGGGGGGGACAGGGCTGAGCCACACAAAGGCGCCTCGGGAGCAAGCATGCGTAAGTGAACCAATAGATAGTGGCTTGCTATGGGGGCACTCAGTAGGGGGGAGGGGCCAGGAGTGTTGGTGGGGCAGCTAAGAAGGGGAGGATCGAAACTTCTCTGTACAAAACCACCGCACAGTGCAAGCAATTGTAACATGTTTGTTATTTAAAAAATATATATACTTTGTATCACTTTAATCATTAGAGTAGCAATAATAACCATCAGGATATTTCATGTGATTACATAGTGGATGATGCTCCTGCACACAATTACAGGAACAAGCTTTACTGGGGAGACTTTTTATTTAACAACTTTATGAAGAGGTTGTTAAATAAAACTGACATAAAAGCTTCATTTCAGAGTGGGGGAGGGGTGGGGGGGGGGGGGGGTAGTAGAAGAAGCTCCAATGGCACTAAATCTACATTGTGAAGACAGCTAAACGAATTCTTGGATACAAAGTAAAAGGGGTCTGTGACTAGAAATGATCTTGAAGGCTTCTAAATTACTGACTGTGCCTCAACCACTCCCATAAACAAAGGGCCCCTTCCCACCTCCGGGCCCCATAGAAGCTGCACACACAGTGGACTATTACGGCTACAATTACTACCACTGTCAGGTGTTTCGGTCGCTGCCTGAGTCCCATCAGGGAGATTTCCTTTTACTTCCTGTCCCGGTGACACAATAGGAAGTGAGAGGAAACCCTCTTCAAAATTAAGAGAAATACCAGAACACGTGTCCTCGTTATAAGATTTCTACTTTGTTCCTGTTCGGGTGACAACTGTAGAATTTTGGATCCCCCATTAATTTCTGGCTCAGTGATAACGTCCACCAGGACAAACATTAGGGACACAGACAGCAATACGAACAGGACAGAAGTACTACTCCCCCCCCCCCCCCCCCCCCCCCCCCCCCAAAAAAAAAATATATTATATAAAAAAATTAAATACAATAAGATAATAAAATTAATATATATATATATATATATATATATATATATATTTATTTTTTTCAATTTATTTAAAAATAATTAAATGCAGTATATATATATACACATACACACATACATACATACACACTGCATTTAATTATTTTTAAATAAGTAAAAAAAAAAAAAAAATATATATATATATATATATATATTTTTTTTTTTTTTTTTTCTCATTTATTTATTATAATTAAATGCAGCATTTTCAGGAACCAACACCTGTAACAACATTTCACAGAGAACACACGATGGCCGCCCCTTTCCAAACAAATGTTTCTGTTATAGTTGGAGTCTGATGGGCTCCACTAGCTCATGGCAGCAACCAGAAGGCTATCACTGCTGACCTCTCCTCCTGAAAATGCTAGCTGTCTGGCTGTTGGATCTATCTTCTGGATTCAATACTGAGAGGTCAGTGTCCAGGAACAGTGAGAAGGGCTTCCAACTTCTCTCCAAGTTTCCGGATACACCGACTTTTTTCGGATCAGTGATTTTGAATGGAAATGGGAGGATCAGCATTACAGACAAGACAACTTTTCAATACTGGCAGCCCTGTATTTCTCTTAGCACAGGTTTCATTTCCAGCATCCACCAAATCATCAAGACGCGGAGGTGTATTTTTAGGACCCAAATTTCATTGGCTACCGTTGGGTTTGGGCTTATGAAATTTCCAGTAGTTTCTAGTAAAATTGGTTACAGCTGGCCTAGCCCCAAGAGGGTTGGGTTCTAAAGCTTTGATTGGACACCGGACAGACCTGACTTCTTGCACTATATGGGCAAATGTTTGGGGACACCTGACCCTCATGCCTCTATGATCTTGTTGGACATCCATAGAAGGAAGCTGCCCTGGTTTTGCTGGGACAGCCCCAAATCCCTGTCCCAATGGGGCTCTGTCCCAGGATCACTCTTTATTGAGTTACAATAACTCAATAAAAGCATGTTAACTAAGGGGGTGGTTCCAACATATTTAGATTTAGGACTGTGCCAGAAAGTGGCCATTGGTGTGACTACCCAGAACTGGACATGACAAGTTTGGGCTGTGTTTGGAGGTGACAGAGTCTTGTAGACGGGACTAATGTTGATTTGGACATCCCATTCCAAAACCATGACCGTTTCTATGGAGTTGCCTCCCCACTTATGGCTATAACATCCTCCACTCTTCTGGGAAGGCTTTCCACAAGGTTTTGGATGTTGTCCGTTGGAAATTTTGGTCATTTGTGAGATCAAGTAATGAAGCTGGATGTTGGATAAGAACACCTGGCTTGTTCCATTTTATCCCAAAGGGTTGAGGTCAGGGCTCTGAGGTCACCCAACTGGGTCTTTATGAAGCAGGACAGGGCTCAAGTCCAGTTCCCCCATACCAAACTGGTCAAACCATGTCTTTACGGAGCTGTTTGGTAGGGTTGAGGTCAGGGCTCTGTGCAGGACACTCCAGTTCCCCCATACGCAAACTGGTCAAACCATGTCTTTATGGAGCTGTTTGGTAGGGTTGAGGTCAGGGCTCTGTGTTCCCCCATACCCAACTGGAAACACTCCAGGGCTCTGTGCCCCCAGTTCCCCCCACACCCAACTGGTTAAACCATGTCTTTATGGAGCTGTTTGGTAGGGTTGAGGTCAGGGCTCTGTGCAGGACACTCCAGTTCCCCCCACACCCAACTGGTTAAACCATGTCTTTATGGAGCTGTTTGGTAGGGTTGAGGTCAGGGCTCTGTGCAGGACACTCAAGTTCCTCTACACTTTCCACAAGATTTTAGAGGGTGTTTGTGGGAATTTGGTCTCATTTTTGAGGTCAGGTACTGATGTTGGATGAGAAGACCTGGCTCACCAGTGACGTTCCAATTCACCACAAAGGTGTTCAAAAGCGTTGAGGTTGCGGGTCTGTTCAGGACACTCAAGTGCCTCCATACCAAACTGGTCAAACCATGTCTTTATAGTGCTGGCTTTGTACAGAGGGGCACTGGTACAGAAAAGGGCCTTCACCAAACTGTTAACACAAGGTTGGTAGAGGACAATTGTTTCCAGTGTAGTATTTACAGTATTCATCACTAGGGGCGGACTGACCATTGGGAAACTCGGGCACTTCCCGAGGGCCCGGGGTCAGTAGGGGGCCCCAAGAGATGCCCCTGGTACCTTTTTCATAGGCTTTTTTGAGTTTGGGCGAGGACACAGGGGCCCCATGATCCCCTATTAGCCGGGGGCCCCATGAGTTGTCAGTCCGCCCCTGCTCATCACTAGAAACACCTGAACTCCATCATCTGGGAGGGGGGGGAGGTTTACATACCCATGGACATATAGATTACGTACGCTGCGAGTAGAGGAGGATCTGGAACTCCAGCAATGCACAGGTGAAGAGCTGTACAACATTCTCTACTCCAAGCAATTCAAACACCTCCTTCACTGGAAAGTCAAACAGTGGCAGTTCATTGGTACTCGGCCTTTGACATATAATTGGTCCATAGACTCCCGAAAACTTTAATGACCTCCCTGCAGGAGGGAGAGGCACCTCGTAGAGGATGTTATAGATATAGCTCTCCAACGGCAGCGGTGGGGGCTGCGGAGATGAGACGGCCTGGTGCAGCTGTTCCAGAACCTTCTTGCAAGCTGTCATGAAGGACATGGGGGCGATGAGGCAGATGCACTTCGAGACGTATAAAGTGTCCCGAGAAATATCATAGGAGTTGAACCTCTGCAGCTTGGAAATGGAGGAGTCATTGCAATCCTCAGTGCAGTTCGTGCTGCCATTGGTGGCGGACGTGTGGATGATGTCATACTCTGCGTTGTGCATGTGGTACAGGGTCTGCATGGCGCTGCATATCTGCTTGCTGGTGACTTCCTCAAAGAAAGTGAGGAGAACCCAAACGTCCTCGACCCATCTTCCCGCGTGATGATAAAAGAGTGAAATTGGGGGTCGCGGCAGTCGGCCTGAGTCTTGAAGGAAAGCCCTTTTGGCATACATAGCTGTGCAAACAAGATAAGGAAACAATTAACGGAGATCAAACACTTGGTCATACAAAGACCAAAGTAACATTGTTTATAAACATCGATCAGACGGGAGACGAGAGATACAAAGTATCATTGTTTATAAACATTGATCAGACGGGGGATAGAGAGATACAAAGTATCATTGTTTATAAACATTGATCAGACGGGGGATAGAGAGATACAAAGTAACATTGTTTATAAACATCGATCAGACGGGGGATAGAGAGATACAAAAGCAACATTGTTTATAAACATCGATCAGACGGGAGATGGAGAGATACAAAGTAACATTGTTTATAAACATTGATCAGACAGGAGACAGAAATACAAAGTAACATTGTTTATAAACATCGATCAGACGGGGATGAGAGATACAAAGTAACATTGTTTATAAACATCGATCAGACGGGAGATGAAAGATACAAAGTAACATTGTTTATCGATCAACAGGAGAGAAATCAAAGAACATTATTTATAAACATCGATCAGACGGGAGAAGAGATACAAAGTAACATTGTTTATAAACATCGATCAGACGGGAGATGAGAGATACAAAGTAACATTGTTTATAAACATCGATCAGACGGGAGATGGAGAGAATACAAAGTAACATTGTTTATAAACATTGATCAGACGGGAGATGGAGAGATACAAAGTAACATTGTTTATAAACATCGATTGCTCAGACAAAGTCCCAGATGTTTAAAACATCGCGATACAAAGTAACATATTTTATAAACATCAGACGGGAGATAGAGAAATACAAAGTAGCAATGTTTATAAACATCGATCAGAGGGGAGAGATACAAAGTAACACTGTTATAAAACATCGATAAACATCAGATGGGAGAGAGAGATACAAAGTAACATTGTTACTTTTATATTTCCTGTTATTTCATTCAAAAAGTTCCTATTCAACCCCTTTTTAAACCCTTCGATTACCCCAATGCACTTATTATTTTCTTCCCCACTTACCTGTTATTTTCCTGCTGATTTTACTTTATTTTTCTAACTCAATATTTTTTTTTTTTTTTTTAAAAAAAACACTCTTTTTTGTTTTTATTTTTTTTAGTGTCACATTGCAAACTGCACAAAACTGAAAGCAAAAAGCCCAAATTTTTTTTTGTATTTAAATAACAGCACTAGGGGCGGTACCTTTGGTTCCCCCAATGAAAAGCAGATGAATGAAAAGGTCCGCCTCCAGCAATCGTGGGATGCTTTTCATTGGGGGGAATCAACAGGTACGGCTTCAATGAATGGAGTGCGGGGCGGAAAGGGCAGGCATGATCAGCGTTCGCCGGGTGCAGCAGCTCATATTAACCCCCGCGGCACCGCAACATCACTGCTGTGGGGGTGTCACGGGACGTCACAGAACACATCAGCCACCAGCACACGGGACACTCTTTATTCAAAGTATTGGCCCTGGTGGGTTTTTTTTTTGTTGTTTTTTTTTTTTTTTTTCTTTTCTTAAAAGCACGAAATTTCAGCTTTAAATGATGAATAAAATTAAGTTATTGCCCAATTAACCCCTTGACGCCAAGCGCACGAAAATAATGCGGCCTCTAGGCGTCCAGGCCTTGACGCTGAGCGGCGCCGCATATTTGCGTGCAATTAGAAAATACATACAGTATGTGCTGAGAGCGCTCCCAGCACACGTCCATGACTCACAGAAAGGTCCCGATCTCCCCTTTCCGATCGGGACCTTTTCCGATCGTGTGTCCGCCATGACGGCGAATCACGGCGGTCACATGACCATAAAACCCTGCCCACCTCCCGGCTTCTGAAACTCATAAAGGGCCAGGAGGCGCCAGCGCGGAGATATTAAAAGGCCAATAACAGAAATATAAAAAAAATCGGCTCCGCTCCATAGGGTGACACAGGTGTAGGAGCTTCTCGTCATCCAATAAAAACACTCCAACACTTACCATACCCACTGCGTCTTGGTCGAACGCGTTCCACTCTACATTTTCTGGATAGCGAGCCAGAACCTTCGACTTAAATGTGCGTCTGAGCGGCGTCTGCTCAAAATTCTCTCCTTGAAGAGAAAAATGCATTTGGTTGATTGTGCGTTGGGACGTTTTCCGACCCCGCCCACCCGGAAAAAAAAAAAAACACAGTAGGATGACAGAGCGGGCCGGTTAGTCAGCAGAGAAAAAAAAAAAAAAAGCAACAAAGAGAATCTGATTAATTTATATAACATTTCATTTTCGCTCAATAGACCACAGACAGGAATAATCACATGACAGGTAAACATTGTATCTATTTTCAAAGCGTTCAAAAATCAGCGGCGCAATGTGATGAAAATGTGATTTCTCCTGTAAACTGTAGACTGCACAAAACAAAAAATCAAAGTTGAAAAAAACAAAAAAAAAAAAAAAAAAAAAACCCATCAGGACCAGTTCACACCACTGCTTTAGAAAAACAAAGAGGGCGCCACCTAAGTGTAGCGGATGATGAAAAGCATAAAATCTACAAGGCTCTGTATTCATTCTCTTCAACGCTCTAAAGCCCCATAAAGCTCAATGAGTGCGTTGAAGAGAGTTTTTCTTCTAAAATTTTGCAAATAAATAATCTTTCTTAATAAATCGTGGCCAAAATGTATTCATTTATCTTTTTAGTAAAAAAAAATTAAATAACCCAAATTAGTTTATAACCAAAAATTTATACATTTTTCAAATTTTTTATATTTTAATTTTTTTTTTTTTTTAGATTATTTATGCTTTTTTTTTTTTAACATACTGTCACCCTAGCAGTATAGCGTCACCATGGTGACACTGTACTATATGTGGGGGGTGATGAAAAAAATGTTTTTTCTTTTTTTACACTGCTTGCTTTTACACCCATAAACGCTGTAAAAGCAATCATTTCTCCTTCTCTCTGACTGAATTCTTGCAGCCATTGAGAACTACTGTGAGAGCTGTGATTGGTCACAGCTTGTCACATGGTACAAGGCTGTTGTGAATGGCCCTGTACCATGTGATCTCTGTGATCATTCACAGATTTCACACGTAGTAAGCAATGATGTGAGCAGTGACATCTTGCTTACTACTCTGCATGTGATCACTGATTGGCCAATCAGTGATCACATGATCGGGACCTCGCACAGAGGTCCCGTACGACGATCGGTGTTCCACTGTGTACGGAGGACACAGCGGGCACCAGATCGCAGTGCTGCGTGATCCCAGGGAGCGCGCACAGTTCAAAATGGCGGGCGCCGTTTATGAACGACAACCCGCCCCTGCACTGCCACCGTCCGGCCGTTTATATACAGGGGCCAGACAGCAAGTGGTTAAATGATTGGAATGAATAAGCAGTTAATGTTCTACAAGGAATAGGAAATGTATTGTACTTCGTATTAATTGTATAATTTGTAACAGAGTATTGAAAAAAATTATTTGATTAAAATGCGCCTTGAGGAGCGCCTTGCGATCTAATTTTTAATGCGTTTTGTTAAAAAGATGCAACAACGCAAGATGCGTTTTTTTTGTGTGCATTACCTGTTCTTCCTATCCTCTTTCTCCATTTTTGGGGTGGTGTCTGTGTTCCTTTAACGCATGTTAAATATTATTATAATTTGTTTTCGTGCGCTTTTTGCACACAGAGATCCTGCCTTGTAGGGTACATAGAGCACAATGGTGTGAATAGGCCCTGAACCTTAGTTCAATGTAAAAAAAAAAAAAAAAAAAAAAAAAAAAGGAAAGCAATAAAAAAAAAGAAAAAAAAAGGAGAAAAACAAAGAAAGGAAAAAAAGGAGAGAAAAAAAAAGGAAAGGAAGGAGAGAGAGAGAAAAAAAGAGAACTACAAAAGAGGAAAAGAAAGGAGAGTGAAAGAGGAGAGCAAAAAAGGAGAGAAAAGAAAGAGAGAAAAGAAAGAGAGAAAAGAAAGAGAAAAGAGAGAAGAGAAGAGAAAGAGCAGAGCAGAGAGAGCAGAGCAGAGCAGAGGAGAGCAGAGCAGAGCAGAGGAGAGCAGAGCAGAGCAGAGGAGAGAGAGCAGAGCAGAGGAGAGAGAGCAGAGCAGAGGAGAGAGAGCAGAGCAGAGGAGAGGAGAGAGAGCAGAGCAGAGGAGAGGAGAGCAGAGCAGAGGAGAGAGAGCAGAGCAGAGAGAGAGGAGAGCAGAGCAGAGGAGAGAGAGAGAGCAGAGGAGAGGAGAGAGAGCAGAGGAGAGGAGAGAGAGAGAGAGGAGAGGAGAGAGAGAGAGGAGAGAGAGAGAGAGAGAGGAGAGAGAGAGAGAGAGAGAGCAGAGGAGAGAGAGAGAGCAGAGGAGAGAGAGCAGAGCAGAGGAGAGAGAGCAGAGCAGAGGAGAGGAGAGAGAGCAGAGGAGAGGAGAGAGAGCAGAGCAGAGGAGAGAGAGCAGAGGAGAGGAGAGAGAGAGAGAGGAGAGAGAGAGCAGAGGAGAGAGAGAGAGAGAGAGAGGAGAGGAGAGAGCAGAGGAGGAGAGGAGAGAGAGCAGAGGAGAGAGAGAGAGCAGAGAGAGGAGAGAGAGCAGAGGAGGAGAGAGAGGAGAGAGAGGAGAGAGAGAGAGAGAGAGAGAGAGCAGAGGAGAGAGAGCAGAGAGAGGAGAGCAGAGGAGAGAGAGGAGAGAGAGCAGAGAGAGAGAGAGAGAGAGAGCAGAGGAGAGAGAGAGAGAGAGCAGAGAGAGAGGAGAGAGAGCAGAGGAGAGAGAGAGCAGAGGAGAGAGAGCAGAGGAGAGAGAGCAGAGGAGAGAGAGCAGAGGAGAGAGAGCAGAGGAGAGAGAGCAGAGGAGAGAGCAGAGGAGAGAGCAGAGGAGAGGAGAGAGAGCAGAGGAGAGGAGAGAGAGCAGAGGAGAGGAGAAGAGAAAGGAGGGAAGAGAAAGGAGGGAAGAGAAAGAGGAGAGAGGAAAAAAGAGAAAAAAAAAGAAAAAGAGAAAATACAAGAGAGAGGGGGGGGGGGGAGAAGAGAGAGGAGAGAGAGAAAAGAGAGAGAGAAAAGGAGGGAAAAAAAGGGGGGAAAAAAGAAAGAGAAAAGAAAGAGAGAAAAGAAAGAGAAAAAAAGAGAGAAAAGAAAGAGAAAAAAAAAGGAGAAAAAAAAGAGAGAAAACAAAGAGGAAAAAAGTGAATAAAAAACGAGAGAAATCAGAAGCTAAATGACTTTCCTTGCGTCTTTGCTGCAATCACATTTTCACAGCAGAGAGAACACTGAGCCGCTGTTTTCTGGAGGATCAGGAAGAAAAAGATTGCAGCTAAAAGTAGGACAGAGGACGCACACAGGAAGTGCGACTGAAAAGCAGAACATGGCGCACTTCTTCTACGGGAAGTGTAGTAATCCTAACCAAGCTGACAAAAGCGAGAGATTTCCCGCCAGAACCCGACAAAGCAGAGACAGCAGTGATCAGCGGAGTGGTTATTTAAGCTCCCTATCCTCCGGTGTAGCCTCATTGTGCCGCCCATGGAGAGAATTCCCGGCAATTTTACTAAAGGGCCCCATTACATTATTGCATGCGAGTCGCAGCATGGCGGTGCCATTCGACAGCCCACTGCAACCCAAAAATGGGCAGAATATTTATTCGATCCCATTGGTGACGGGAATATCCCGGATGTTGGTGCTGTAAGGGTAGAAAATGTCTCGTATTGTTGTGTTGGTTGTCATTGGGCAGCTTTTTCCTACTTCCTAGGCGGTCACTGAGACAGGAAGTAAGACCAATCTCTCCAATGGGAACACAGGAATGTGGGGACACCAATAGGCTGTAATGGTTTAGGAATCCCCCAGCCCCCCCCCCCCCCCCGCACAATGATGCTACACCATATTGCAGGCTTAGTCAACCATCGACTGTCCAGGTGTTGGTGAACCGTAGGCCCCCCCAAGAATACCCCTGAAGCCAACCACTGGACAGTCCATGGCGCCCGCGATGGAGTCTTTTGTATTTTTCAGGCTGGAGCATTTGGTTAGAGTAGAAGCCGAGATCCGTCCACGTTCCGTTTACCTTCAGTACCGGGCAGAAAGGGCCCAATGGCACCCTGGACTCTGGAGGCTTTTATGTAGTCACATAGTGCTGA